TGAAGCGAGTTGGTCTCGGGTTCGGTAAGAGGTGTCCCTATGAATGAGTACTCATTAATTATGTGAACAATGTCTAGTGGACATTGAAAGCTAGAATTGCATTAAAAAATTAAAACATATGGTACTGCATTCGAATATTCGCTTTTAATACTCCTTCCGTTTTAAATCTTTCTATGCATTGCGCAAAACGAAGAAAAACTCCAAATTTTTTAATCTATTTTATTGAAAGATTGGTATTGAAACAAATTAAAGTTATGACAAGAATATTTTATTTTATCATATAAGCCAGGAAAGAATATAATTAAGTTTTTGTGAAATTCAAATAAAGTTCCCTAATAATTTATCCACTTTTGATTTTTTTCGGTTAAAATTGGTAAATTTTAATCTCAAATTAAATAAAAATAATATTAAATATTGATCAAAAACAATTTTATTAGATTCATTGTATAAAATATTTTTAGAATATTATTTCATCTAATTAATATAAAATATATATTTTATTTAATTATAGATCAAAGATTAAAAGCATTTGAAAAAAATTAAAATTGAACAAATACAAACGGAAATAGTAGGGGAGTAAATAAATTCTCCATTAATGATTCCCAAATAGTGAAATACACTCTTCAAGTCTTCAAGCTTGAAAAATAGGAAGTGGGTCGCAAAACGAAGAGAAAATTTCCTTTAAATATCAGAGTCACATCTTCTTCTTCTTCAATCTGCGAATCTCCAAACCAAAACACAGCAAGCTATATACACCGCCATGGCCACTGAGGAGGTCAACACCAGCAAGAAGCTTCACGTTGTGATGTTCCCATGGCTAGCTTTCGGCCACATGATTCCATTCTTGGAGCTTTCCAAGCACATCGCCTCCCGTGGTCACGCCGTCTCATTCATTTCCGACCGGAGAAACATCGACCGCCTCCCCAAACTCCCTCCCCACCTCTCCTCCCTCATCACCTTCGTCGATCTCCCCCTTCCGCCGCTCAAGAACTTGCCGGAAAACGCCGCCGCCACCTCCGATTTGCCCTACGACAAAGTCAAGTACCTCAAGCTGGCCGGCGACGGCCTTCGAGATCCGGTGGCCAAATTTCTTGAGAACTCTTCCCCCGATTGGGTTTTATTCGATTTCGCTTACTATTGGATTCCCACCGTCGCGTCACCGCTGGGGATTCCGACAGCTTTCTTTAGCATTTTCACCGCCTCCGCATTGACATTCTTTGTAGGGAGGCTGGAGGATGCCAAGCTCCGGACTAAACCGGAAGATTTCGTGGTGCCGCCGCCGTGGGTCCCGTTTGAATCCACCGTGGCTTTGAAGCTATTCGAGATTATGAAGATCATCGACGTGGCAGAGGAGGACGAAGACGGCGTTTCCGATGTGGTTCGGGCCTCTAGGAGCGCCCAACACTGCGATTTTCTGGCCGTGAGGGGGTGTGTGGAGTTTGACCACGAGTGGTTTGAGCTTTTGAAGGATATTCACCGGAAACCCGTCTTACCCGTCGGCCAGCTGCCGACGACGGATAACGGCGCCGACGGAGGCGCTTCGTGGCCGGAAACGAAAGCGTGGCTCGACAGGCAAGCCGCCGGCTCAGTCGTCTACGTTGCGTTCGGGAGCGAGGCGAAACCGAGTCAACTCGAGATCACGGACATTGCGCTCGGACTGGAGCGATCCGGGTTCCCGTTCTTCTGGGTTCTGAGGACAAGACGGGGGGAGGCAGACACCGAGTCGACCCGCCTCCCGGACGGATTCGAGGAGCGGACCGAAGGGCGCGGGGTCGTGTGCACGAGCTGGGCGCCTCAGCTGAAGATACTGAGTCACGACTCGGTGGGCGGGTTCCTGACTCACTCGGGGTGGAGCTCGGTGGTGGAGGCGGTGCAGTTCGAGAAGCCGCTGGTGCTTCTGACCTTCCTGGCGGACCAGGGGCTGAACGCGAGGGTTCTGGAGGAGAAGAAGATGGGGTACTCCATACCCAGAGACGAGCGAGACGGGCGATTCACGAGCGAGTCGGTGGCCGAGTCACTGCAGCTGGTGATGGCCGGAGAAGAAGGGAAGATGTACAGGGAGAAAATCAAAGAGATGAAGGGAGTGTTCTGCGACAGGGGGAAACAAGACGGTGCGGTCGATGATCTGTTAAGTTATCTGCAGAGCCATAATAAGAATGAAGAAGACAAGAGAGATTCGATAGAGCTTATTTAATTTGATCGTCTTCTTCGAATTGTGATTTCTGAAATCTGTACGGAGTAATAAAAGTTTCAGAGGACAGCCATGGGTGGGTTGGCAGCCTGGCGGCCACTTCTCTTCTGCACTCATTTACTTCACATTGTTTGATTTGTTTCCACTTTCCTTAGCAACTTTTAGAAAAGTCGGAACTTTTATTTTGCATTCATGTTAGTGGACCATTTCACAACAAATTTCAAAAGGTCTTTCTCGTTTTTTTTTTTGATTTGGTCTGGTCTTTTTTATTTTTACAAAAATGTTTGGGTACACCAAGTTATATTCCGAAATATACCCCATGCTTATTAAATTATATATACTCCATAATATTTCATTTGTCCCAAAACATTTTATATTTTTATTATTTGAGTTTTTCGATAATTGTATTTACTTATTGTTCTATTGGTCATTTGACAACATAAAATATTAGTGACATGTTATTCTGTAGAACTAATTAAGTAGTTTTTAAATGCCGGAGTATATAATTTGTATTTTTTATTTCTATAAAAATTTATAGATAAAATCATTTTAAGAGAGATTGAATTTTACATGTTGTTGGAATAACATAAATGAATTTCGAAGGAGGGAGTGTTTGATGTAGATAAAAAAATATAAAATGTACTTCCTCGACCCCATAAAAATTTATTAAAAATGAAACAATGTGCGCTCTGAAAATGTTTAATTTTGATATTATTTCATAATGTTTTCCTTTAAAATAACGTAGAATATGATGGGTACGGTAGATGGGTTATAATTTAGAGATAATGACAAAATTACTCATTTTTAAGATTCATTTTTTTGTCTTTGAAAAATATTTAGGCAAAGGAAGTAAAAAAGAAGGGAAATGTTATAGGTACCGCATTTGTAGACCAAGCAAAAACATACGCAAACAGATATTCAATGTCTATGAGTGGACAGAGATAGAGCATCTATGTGTGTCTGTTTTTGTTTAATGTACAAATAGGATACTACACTTTGGTGTACCCTTAACATTATTGAAAAAAAAATGTATGGTCAGATGAATGTTGGGGTACAATCTGGTGTATAGTTAGTTTAGTGTACCTCTAACATTACTTTTATTTTCATATCAAAATGCTTGAAGTAAACCAAATTATATCCCAAGTTGTACACAGTACACCGCCTTTTTTCACCCTAAACTTTTATCCATGTTCCAAAAATCGGGTCTTGGATAAGAAATGAGTGGTAGAAAGAAGGGTGATGTATAACTTGATGTACAATTTGGTGTACTCATAGTATTACTATATTTATATACCCATGCCTAGATTATGTCTTAATTTAAAATACTTCCTCCATCTGATAGGGATAATAATATTCTAGTTTCGGATTATGATATTGTCTGGAATTATTTTTAATTTAATTTATATAAAGATTAGTTTAGAATTAATAACTAAAATTTGCGAAGTATATATTTAAAAACTACAAAAGTTCTACAAAATAGATGATGACAAAATTATTTATTCTATCAAATGATCAATGAGAATAAGTAAAGAAACGAAATATAGTTTAACCCCGAAAATAGTAAAATAAAACATTATTATGGCGCGGAGAGAGTATCACTTTTGTCCTATGATGTACTAATATGAAAGAAATATTTAGAGTTTTCCCTTAACATGAATGGTAAGAGGAATACTTTCAAAAATCTAGATGGGAAGCTCACTTAGATTCAAATATCATCCAGATTGTTGACTCTATGTGTTTTAACAAATTTGGAAAATATGTAATAACAGACACTATATTGTAACAGACTTACTAGTACCTATTAAAAGAAACATTTTAAAGAGGGGATGATGTATTTCATGTTTTTCCATTCTCATTTGGATAGATGTCAACTTCTATTTTTTCTCTGAACGTTTTAGTTTCTATTTGACTTTGTATGGAAGTTAGGATGTTAATTGTTGATGGCTTGTATTGGTCGATGGATTGTTTTAACTCTTTTGAATGGTTTATTCTTTTACTTGTTTGTGAAAAAATATTTGGTAAACGTGGTCCTTTACAAATACTCTGGTAATTATCTATAGATGAAATTACATATGAGCATAAGAATATTACAGAGTATTTCGTGCAAGTCCATTAATAAATCAATGTTTGATGGTTATAAATTAATGAACTTCTCTCCCGACTCGAGTGATAAAAAGCCCACTCCCCAAAATTTATAGAAAAATTCACTCAGGTTCGAGCCCCAACAAAAGCGGAAACATTGACTTTTTGTGCGTCATTGAAAAATGTGTGAACATATACTACGTAATAGAGTCAATAGCATTCAACACGTATGAATTGTTTGATTGTTAATTTAGTTGGTTTTGTGTTTCTCGAAGGGTGTTGTGGAACAACACTACTTACTATTTTTACTATGCTCGTAAGTTAATCTCTGTCCATCTTAAATTAATCTTCCTTATTTCTTCTTTGAACTGCCTCAAATTAATTTATCTGTCTCTTTCCTTTTTCTCAAAGGTTTTTGTGGCTCAACTTTATCTCTCTTATTTGCTTCACTTTCAATCAGACACAAACTGGCATGTCATCTAAATTATGATTCTAAGTAATTCTATCATCTCTATTGCAAACCATTGCATATTGATTCATTTTTCTTCTTCACGTCATCTGCTCTGTGGTAAACATAGTACCGAAATCGACCACCGCCGCACCACCCTACCATTTGCTTGCAGGCCAACTTCCCACTGATTTTCAGAGAAGGGTATGATGAAAAAAGAAAAAAAAACTTGAGGGGGCACTTTCGTCAATTTATCCAGAATATATCGAACCAGCCCTACAAAATCCTAATAATAATGACTTAATATTGGGGTTTCAATAAATATATACCAACTTTGTCAATGGCTTAATAATAATAATGTACAGAGTATCTTTTGTCTTTTTCTCTTTTACACAAATCAGCTTACAATGGCTTATGGCATGTCATCTAAATGTTCCCAATTGATTCTCTATTCCATAGTCGGAATCAATACCAAACACTCTAAAATCTAAATAGAACCACTTTATCATTGCACATTTCCAGTTTTGATCCTAAAAGAGCAAGAATCATTGCAAAGACACAGAATAAGTTACCCGTAGATGATAATTCGGTGTTAGTCGCGTGCTACTTTGGAGAAGTCAGCTTGTTTTCTTCAAAATCATGCTTCGATGTAGGATCCCCACCCATCAACTCCAGAAACCCTTCAACCTTCACCGGTTGAGCCCTAACCATTCCCATATTCCTGAAAGAAGATAGTGAATTTGGTATTCTTTTTAACGCCCCGGATCTTTTGACAACAACTCTTGTTGTCATAATATGACAAGGGCTATGTTGCTCCATTCAAAAAATTGATGGTTTGTATCCCCTAACCCCTTCCCCCGCATCCTGCCCAAAATGCCGATCGGCAACCCAAAATGCCAATCGGCATTTTGGGTAGGGGGCAAGGGGTGCTTGAGTGGGGTGCACGGGGGTTAGGGGGTAAGAACCATAATTTTTTCAAACAGAGCACCGTAGCCGTTGTCATTTTATGACAACAAGAGTTGTCAAAAGAAGGGAGCCATTTTTTTAATATCCATCAACAGAAATCATAAGGGTCGGTTTGGAACCCAAAAACCACATAGGAAAGAAAATATGATGACAAACATGGAGGGAAGAAAATATTGGGAAAATAAAATGAAGAGTTGACGATTAAGTTTTAATAATTAATACGGAGTACTTAATATGGGTTGTACAGTATGGGCTAGCTTGTTTTGAATGGACTGCGTTTTTACTGTCCAAACTAAGTGGAAATCTTGTCAAACAAAAGGTACTAAGGTAGAGTCATCAAACAAAGTCCATTCACTTTCTTATACGTTCCTTTCATGTATTGCATGCTTAGGAGTCCTTTTTTATGGTCTTCACAAAGATTGTGAATCTAATGAGCATTAACTTCTCTTTGTTTTTATACAAAAAATATGGTATATATCCGTCGACTTTTTCATGTATTGCATGCTTAGGAGTCCTTGTTTATGGTCTCCTTAAAGTCGTTAAAGATTGTGAATCTAATGAGCATTAACTTCTCTTTGTTTTTATACAAAACATATGGTATATATTCGTCAACTTGAGTAACAAATAAGGGGTATTATAAAAATGGAATCAACCCCCAAATGTTTTGCTTGAAAAGACATATGAAAAATAAAGGTTAAAATTATATGTGGTATTCAATATTGTTATCGTTGGATAGATCTTAATGCGAGTGGCATATTATTTGTCACACAATGACTCATTTTATTTATGTTTATTATAAAGATTAAGAAATTATGGAGCATAATATTCGTAAAAAAATCATTTTTCTTCAAGCCCCGTTTGGTACACGGAATTCGAACTATGAAATTGGAATTGAGGACTTCAATTCCAATTCTGGTGTTTGGTACCACAAAAATTATGTAGATTTGGAATTGATAGTGCAACAATGAATTGGAATTGGCAGAATTCAATTCTATGGAATTGAATCCCATGGAATTTCAATTCCAATTCAATTCTAATTCCATCAATTCCGTATACCAAACGGACCCTCACTGTTTTTCCAAGTCAAAGCAAAACACAAGAAAAACAGCCATCATTAACTTCTTTTTCTGTTCCCCTATTATTTTCCAGGGATCCTTACCACAAATGCTATGTAGTTTGTGTGTGTGCATGTGTGTGTGTGTGAGAGAGAGGGAGAGAGAGAGAGAACTTACGGTGAATGAACTTGCGGAACTTGAGGATTAGTCATTGGCCTAAACTGGTTTCCACTTTGAGGATGTGTAGATTGCATTGCTGCTAGTTGTTGCTGGCGAAAATGCATTTCTATTAACTGGGCATTTCTTGCACTCATTGCAATATTATTACCGATTGGGAAATCACTAGGATTTTCAAGTTTTACTTCAGCCAGCGGCCTCTCCTTATCAATATCCATATTTGAGTTCAAACCCATGGTAACTGCAGGGCGAGGAGTAGGTTGCTGCCGCCGACGCATTCTTTCCAAGTGCTGCGGTTGCTGTGATGCCAGGTTTTGAGGATTATTTTGAATCATCTGCTGCAACTGAGGATGCATTTGCCCCTGTATCTACATAGCCATACAAAAAACACATTCAGAAGGTTGATACAAAACATCATTACCCGAAAGTTTTTTCTTTTGTTTCTTTGTTTTTTTGGTGGGGGGGGGGGTGGTTGAGTAGCAAATAAAAAAGGGAAAAACAAACTGTACTCCAAGAAAATGTTTACCAAACAACAGGCATACAAAATGGGGAAGAAGTAGCTTCCAAAGTTTTCGACCAGTACCATTGTTAACTCCTTAGAGCTTGTTCTCTTCAACTTATTCTTTTTACGTATTACAGTACTTATTCTTAGTGGAATCATATCAAAAACAGCTTCAAATATAACTACACTCAGATTAGATCAAATTAGAATTTAATCGAATCAGATCAGAATCAATCAAATAAGTTGAAGAGAACAATCCTTATTGCCTATAAAGACATTGATGAAATGGTTCAGAGACAGCACCCTCAAGTAAAACCCTTCCGTAAAAGAACATTGTTCTTGTAATCAAGTCTTGAATTATGACACTTTTATATGTCAGACCCCTCTTCTAGCTTCTTTTTTTATAACTAGGGTTAAGGTCACAACCAGAGAAAAATACTCCTACAGTCCAATGTTGCACGAAAGTACCCAGGCCCCAGACACCAAGCCATTTATTACACTACCTTCCATCTTATAGTAAACTTATTATAAGAGGGTAATCCAGGGTATGATGTGTGGAAGTGTGGAACCACAGGTAGGAGAAATGAGAACGGTGAAACTTACTCTTTTTATTGGCGATCAATTGAAAAATAGTACTTTAATAATTCTAATATCAGGATTAGTTAAGGAAGCCCTCACCAGTTTCCATCAAATAGAGTTAGACAAATAACAAACTAGACTCCCACAGTCCTGTCTATATTACCTGTTGGGACTGCCGCACTTGAGCTTGGTGCTGAGGATGCATTTGTGGCTGAAATTCTTGCAGTTGCTGTGTAGGTTGATGGATAACATTCCTACTGCTATCCTTCACAAGCTCAGCCAAGGCTCCGAGATTACTGAAGATATAGGAGAAAATATACTAGATGTAAAGAAGGAGAAGGCAAACACAGTTGCATCAGTGACCTACTATTACAAAGCAAATCTAAATGATACAGAGTAAAATTAAAATTGCAGAAAGCCAAAATATAAATAAAAAGACTAATAAAGCGAAAGGTGTGCAGACCAAATTACATATCCTTATTCAAGAACTACTAACATCATGAACATTGAAACAGACACACATGTACATGCATCACACGGGCATACACGAAATATGCAACCAAATTCCATATCTGTTTAACAAGATTACCAACTTCATGAGCATTCATACACGCAAACATGATCTATGCACACGAAAGTGTGTGTAGGTTCATGATTGAACAAGTATAGAATCCATTGCTGTTAGACACCCGAAAAGATCCGTGAGATAGAAGAAGAGCCCCTCTCTTGCCGGTGGCTAGAAGAGGAAGAACTTTGGATCCTTTAGTCCATGATTAATTAGGAAGAACTGTTTGATCGCTTCAACGATAATAAATTTATTAATAATTGTGTGAATATAAATATGCAAAGTTTTACAAGAGTCTCAACTCTCATCATAATCATACTAGGAAACATGATTCCTTATTTATTCTATTAACTAAAATAGAAAAAGACTACTAAAAGGAAATATTAATATTCCTAATAATAATAGAGTCAATTACAGTCAAACTAGACAAACTTTAATCATCATAAAAAACAACCAAGTTGAATCCCACAAAAGGAGGGTCTGGGTATGCTAGACCTTACCTCTACTCAAGAGTAGAGGCTATTTCCAGAGAGACCACCCAGCTCAAGCACCATGGGCAATCTCGTACAGTCGTACGTAGCCAAACCCCTATGTTTAAAAGATAGAGCGGCTGTTTCCAGTGTTCGAAATGGCGTATTGCAGTTTCAAGGCATTCTTTTTGCATGGCGTATTGCGTAAGCCTCAAGGCGTTTTGAGGCGTAAGCCTCGATTTTTAAATTGAAAAATGTCCATAAAAAATTTAAAAAACTGAGGATAGAACATAATGTATAACATAAATAATCCAGAAACATTAAAATAGTATATTGTCAAAGTAATACATCTCAAGCACAACAAAGCATGAAAAATATTTCCATGCTAGGTAAGACATTTTAGCAATATTCTGAGAAACCTAAATAAATGTAAACAATACTATGCAAAAACATATCATAAAAACACCAACTAAAACCTCCAGCCGCAAGCAAGAAAAATTTAAAGTAAATTTCATAAAAGGTCCCCAGATATAGGTCGTTTTACATATTTAGTCCCTACATATCAAATATTACTAATTTAGTCCCCAATTATTATATTCATTTCCACGAATGGTCCTTTGTTAACATTTTCGTTAAGAATGGGGATAAAATTGTAAATTCACACTCCTTTAATCTCCTCAATAAAGCTTCCTCCCTCCCCTCGCACTTCTTTCCCAAACCCGTCGCTGAGTTTGAAGCTTTGAACCCAAAACCAAAACCATCACTCTTCTCTCAATTGTTTGTCTAACTGGTGGAACCTAAATTCATAACCAGTAACCTTCATGGATGAATTTTAATGTTTATTTTCTTTGCAATTTCTTGAGACTAACCGATAAAACTCATCCATTTTGATTTTAGGTTCCACCAGGAAGACTAATAATTGAGAGAGGAATGATCATTTCAGTTTTGGGTTTAGAGATTCAAACTCAGCGACGAGTTTGGGAAAGAGTACGAGAGGAGGGAGGAAGCTTAATTGAAGAGAGAGAGAAGTATGAATATACGATTTTATCCATGTTATTAACAAAAACGTTAACAATGGACCATTCGTGAAAAATGATATAATAATTGGGGACTAAATTAGTAATATTTGATATGTAATATTTGATATGTGGGGACTAAATATGTAAAACGACCTATAACTAGAGACCTTTTATGGAATTTACTCAAAAATTTAATACTCCTTCATAAAACCGTAAGCAAGAAAAAATACCAATTAAAAACCTCCAGAATAAAGTTAGCAAGAAAAATAATTTTAATGCTCCATAAATCCTCCATCCATAAGCCATCTAGTCGTATACCATTTGCCGAAAAAAAACAAAAAATCGTATAGCTGCTGAATCGGGATGAAGGAGACGGAAAAAATGTAACACCTCGGCCCCCCACCCTGGCCGTAAGTGTCCGCTCATAGGATTGTAGACTGGCCCCACAAACCAACACAAATCTTTCCCGCACACTTTGTCCTTACTCGTGCGCGGGTATTACATTCACCCCCACTTAGGAATGCAACGTGCCAACGTCCTCATTGCATCCTTTTTTTTCAAACCCCTAGATCTTCCCCGCTATGTGAACTAAGCTCGTTGGCCCGTCACGGTCGCAGAGTTACTCTGATACCATTTGTAACACCCAGGCCCCCACCCTCACCATGGCTGTAAGGGTTCGCTCATAGGATTGTAGACTGATTCACAAACCAACACAAGTCTTTCCCGCACACTTTGTTCTCACTCGTGCGCGCCTAAGGATACTTCTCAGGGGGTCACCCATCCTAGAGTCAAACACGCTTAACTTTGAGTTTCTAGGTGATGAGCTCTTGAAAAGAAGATGCACCTTGTTGGTATAAGTAGTACCATCAATCCTTTTGAGCCTTTTCTGTTCCCCATCAATTTATTCTCAAATAGGGGTATTACAGAAAAGAGAGAAGCAGAGACGGCCAACGTGATGAAGAAGATGAATCACAGTTGGTAATCGCAGCAATTAGGGTCGCAATTAAGGTCATCGATAAGGTAATTTCAAAATATATACACTTAATTTGGCTAATTGACAATTTTAACCTTTGATTTTCTAATTTTGAGACGGTAAATGGCATACATCTCATTGCACACGCCGGTGCGTACGCCACGTGGCGTAAGCCTTTACCCCAATTGCTTAAAATGGCTTATTGCGTGAATCGGGATACGCACCAGAGCGGTAATTTTCAGAAAAAGTATATGGCGCACCATGAGGCAGGTTTAGGTTTCGCCATTTCAAACATTGGCTGTTCCCGGATGACCCATGATGAGCATCGAAAGTTGCATTGACTAAGTGTTACATCACTATTAAAAGAAGCTCAAACAGTTTAAAGATTCATTTTTCTTTATTCCATAGTGACTCTTTGGCTCCATCGGAGATGATGAAAATTATATTGGATATTAGTACGGAAATAATTTCATTAGATTTATCTTGCGGAAAACTATCAAAAATTAATTTCATTGTATTGATATGCAATGCAAAATCAACTTAATGGAAATTATATTGGATATTAGTACGAAAATGATTTCATTAGATTTATCTTGCGGAAAACTATAAAAAATTTAGTTCATTGTAATAAAATGCAATGTAAATTCAAAGTAATTAATGATTAAAGGTTGTCCCCTTTGATTTGAAAAAGTGACGAATACTCTGGTACAAAGGGAGTAATAGGGAGCTAATAAAAAATAGTAATGATAGGAAACTAATAACAATAATAAATTACTACGGTATAAGTTAATAAAAATAAAAAAATAAATATTAAATCCTAGATCCATGACAATACTCCCTTCCTCAAACATGAGCTTGTCCACAAGCTCAAGGGAGAAGCAATCTTTGCAACCCTTTCAGTGAGTCTTCCTCTAGTCTGTCCTATAATCAACTAGGACCGCAATGAAAATAACTATCAACAGTCCATGTTTGTATCAACAGCCTTAATTTTCCCACCAGGACCCTATCCAAGTGTGGCCCGAAATGGTCAACGCAAAGTTCTTTTAAGAATTTTTTGTCCCTTGTGATTTCTTCCTCCATCATCTCATCCAACCAAAATTTGGTTTCATCGAGATAATAAAAGGAAACAATACAAACTTGTTCTTCGCCAGATTTTTTTGTGGTGTGAAAAAACTTCTCAAAGTGCATATCTGATAAAAAGTTCAAAGAAAGGTTGGAAATTCTATCTTAGCAAATTGAGGTCACAAAACTCCTGCAAGGGCTACAGAAATCTGTCGTCTTGTAGATATTGCCATCGTGGTAACCGGAGATCTCAGCCGACCCCTCGATGTCATGCTATACTATAGCATGCAAATGAACCCCTTCTTAACGTTGGTGACCTCAGTCGTTGGTAACTTGTAGTTCACCTCTAGGCCTATGATTCTATCGATGATGGAAGCAAGCTTCGTGGCGGTGGCTGCCATGATGGATGGTCGTTGGATTCAAAAAGTGCCATGGGCTTTCCTTGCTCTGATGCCAAACTGTTAAGGATCAAAAGAGATCCCTGAGATAGATGAAGAGCCCCTCTCATGCCAATGACCAGAAGAGGAAGAACTTCAGATCCTATAGTCCCGTAACTAATTAAGAAGAATTGTTTAATTGCTTCAACGATGATAATTTTATTAATAATTGTGCGAGGATAAATAGGCAAAAGCCTTACGAGAGTCCTAACATAATCATACTAGAATACATAAGTCCTTCTTTATTCTATTATCTAAAATAGAATATGACTACTAATAGGAAACTACTAATATTCCTAATAATAATAAGAAAATGATAATAGTAATAGGAAACTAATAATAATAATAATAATTAATTATAGGAAACTATTAATAGTAATAAAAACTAATTAAATATTAAATCCTCGATCCATAACAAACACATGGTGTTTGAGTTTAATAAAGTTAATTTGTTTAAATTTGGATTATTTTATGCAAAGGTTAGTTGGTGAACATGACATCTAAGCACAATCTAGAACAACAAACCCAGTATAATCCCAACTACATTGGGGTCCGAGGGGTCAAGATGTATGCAACCTTATCTATGTATATCGGAGAGGATGTGTCTGTTAGACCCTTGATGCATTTACTTTCCAAAATGTCATATAAAGTAAGATGCAACTAGCAAAAAAAGTTTAATTTGCTGTTTTTATTTAGCTCCATTAGCAATGAGCAACTCTCTAAGATCGATCTAATGACCATTAATGGCCAAGACATTGCACACTTTCACTAACCTGTGTCCAGCTGTTTGAAGGAACATCTTTAGTAGATCAATGGCTGGACACTGTTTTCTATAGCTATCGGCAAGGAGTTTTAAGATACGCCCCAATTTAGAAATATGGCAACTTAGCAATTGACCCATAACTTCTAATGGGGCTTGTGATGAAGCTTCAAATCCAATATTTGCTAGTGTCCGAGCTACCACTTTTTGGGATACCTTTAATGCTTGCTCTGCCCCAAGCACTCTCTTGCTCCCTTCAAACCCATTCTTTCCACGACTTTGATTCCCTCCTTGTCCCACACTAAGGTACTCAGGCTTGATGCCAAGCCTCTCAATCATAATAGGACTCTTTGTCATTATTTGGGGTAATGTATCCAGGATTCCTTTAAACTCCAGTTTCTTGGTTTCCTGAACTTCACTTGATTGCAATACTGCATTATCAGGAACACAATTCAAGGTAAACATTATTTCAGGAAAAAATGATCCATCATGATCAAGTACAGTACTTCCATCCAACCCCAAGTTTGATTGCTGATCTCCTCTAAAAGCTATCCTCCTCCTCTTATGATTCTCAACAGCTCTAAGATAAGCAGCCATCAGCTCTGGTGTCCTTTTTTCTGCTTCCCTATCCCCAAATGATAACTTGTATGGTTTGTGTGCTTTGTATTTATCAATGAACTGATCATACCAAGTTACCGGTAAATCCTCAGCCTTAAACCACTGGGATGTAGAATCCATTTCTGACTCATATCTTGATCCAATACCAAAAGTTGATCTAGGTTGAACCTGAAAGCATTTAATCAACAATATTTTACTACTAAAGCAACTCTTGTTTGGTGATACAAAATCAAACAGAGTAGCATATGCTTGCATTGTGTCAAGAAACTTTATCTTCAAAAGTTAAGACAAAAAATTGGTGCACATACTATATTTAATTAATCAAATGTTAAAAACAGATAAAATGTATGTCCTTTACATAGAGCTTTATGATCAAGTTCCAAATTTTAAGGAAATACTTGAACAAGAAGCAGCATATTAATACATTTAAGCAGGCGACACATGTATTGCTAGAGGATCCAAGATGTATTCTCTTTCCTTCCTCTTGCACTACAAAAATACAATAATGCTTTCTCAATTTCTAGCCCCTTGGCCCTAAATTACCGTATTGTTCCAATGTTTGCAACTTTTAGAATTTATCAGATGATGGTCCATCTAAATTTTGGGTTGTCCAACAGTAATATCAACTTTTTATTTCAATACTTTATTACAATTACAAATTGAACTTTTTATGATTTGACATGCAGACTTATTTGCAGGTTTTGCACAATGTTTTATAACAAATACCCTCATATGACAAAACAACAATAGGAAGTTGCTCGCGAATAACTTGTTTCCTTATTATCCATTCAAAAACCAATCGAGACTTGCACAGAGGGAGAATTCAGAATCTTGTCAAGACCATGCTATTTAATTAGTTCAAAAAGATTTAATCACATTTACCTCAAGTTTATCAGCAATATCAGCAAAGATTTAATCACATTTACCTCAAGGTTATTGCCAATGTGCCACGCTTAGAAGCTTACTTCGATCAAAATGAAATTATAGCTAGAATTTTTATCAAATTTTAAGTACAACACAAAACAAAGCCTTGTATCCCAAGTAACTTGAAGTCAGCTACATGAACCAAGAGGAGAGTCACATCCAGACATTAAAAACGAGTGTTCTCTCGCCATTTCTTTCTATCTACTACCATACTCTTTTTCTTTATTTTTTGAACCAAAAGCGCATATATTCATCAAACAACCTCACAAATTACAAAGTATCAAAACTGAAACAACACCAACAAAACTGCTCACAAAAACCAACAACTAAACAAAGCTCAACAGAGCGCAAACAAAAAACAACAACTAAATCTTCCCCTTGAGGAAAATGTTAACATGGACTTCGATCCAGTCTCAGCACTCCTGCACATTCATTCCTTAGCCTGTATGGATTTTAGCATTTCCGGATTTCCAAATGCCAAAACAACAGGCTGCATAGGTTGCAACAAGCCAACAACAGATTTCCTCCATTACCATACTCTTGTCCAAATTCAGATAAGACAAACTGCTCCTAATAACCTCCTACCATGCCAAATAGTCTCCCCTTCTTATTTTGCATAGTTCTCCACCCCTCAAGTCTTCTGCACCACTATGTCTTCTTTGTACATGTCCAAACCACCACAATTGAGTCTCCCTAAATTGATCTTCGAATGTGACTTCTACCTTTTTTTGCATGATTTCATTACTTTTTTATCCATTCTAGTGTGCCCACAAATCCATCATAACATACACATATCAGTTACCTTCACTTTTATATTATGACACTCTTTAACAACCCAACATTTTGTACCATATGATAATATTTATCAAAGAGATATCATTTAGAACTTTCCCTTTAGCTTCAAAGGTATATCACGGTTACACGGAACTCTAGTTGCACTACTCCACTTCAACCAACTCGGAGATGTTCATGATCTCCATCCAACTCTCCATCTTTTTGAATAATAGAACCCAAATACCTAAAAAGATCACTGACTGTTATATTTAATCTTCTATAGCCACAATACCCCATTGTATGTTTTTGTCTTTACTAAACATGCATTCCATATACCTTGTTTTACTTCTACTGAATTTCAAGCCTTTAGGCCATCTTCCTCAGCACTTCTAAATAATATCATTGGCAAACAGCACACCAAGGTAAACCATCATGCATAGCCTTAGTTGGCTCAACCATAAACATCCCAAAAAGGAATGGACTTAAACCAATCCTTGTTGTACTCGATTAGTAAGAAGACTCCATTGTGATCCGTGCCCTGCTTCTTACATTTGTGTTTACTCCATCATATATATATATATATATATATATATATATATATCCCTTAAGAAGATTATATACTCCCTTTCTTTATTAACACCCGCCATAATGTATTGAGGTACTCTATCATGCATTTGCTCCAAATCTAACTTTAAATAAATGGATAAACTTAAGATCATTAATGAATTTACTAGATTCTGAAATTTGCAAAAAATTGTGTTTTTAATAAACACGTCAGGAAAATAATGTCATCAAGGCAAAAGAGCTCAGTGAACTTATTGTTCTTATCCCGTAAACACAAAGTTCATATAGTGTGAGAGACAAATTGTTTTGCATTTGAAACATCATAATACTTCTGTCAAATTCAAGTAATCCAATTCACTACTTCAAAATTGAAACCTCTCGCAACACATTGAATTACGTGAGAATTAACTTCAAATAAAAAGGAAAAAAGAAACATAAATGAGTGACTAGTATGCAGCAATGCAAATCAAAACAAAATCCAACCTCTGATGACATAGAACTTGTAGTAGCAGCAGCATCTTGTGAACAACTATCCAGGGTGAAGTATACATCATCTCCGTGTAATTGCAAATCTAGCAACACCCCAAACTGACCATATCAGCAATTATTTCCACATGAAGAGTGTGAAAAGAGGAAATACATCAAGATATTTGACTAAATTAGACATATTTACAAACATAAATAAGCGCGAGCACAGAGAGAGTGGGATTACAATTGGGATTGAGCTTAGAAATTGCGGAAGAAGAAGAAGAAGAAGATTGATCGGTGCGGAGGAAGAGAGATACTGATGCTTTGTCAAAGAGCAGAGCTCGAGCGCGGAGCTGGAGCTGGATTTGAGCCCTAGTTTTGGAGTCATCGGCTCGCATGAAGGCATCCCATGTAGCCGGCGAAGAAAGGAAATGAATGAAGGTGGGGTAGAGTGAATCACCGAGCCAGGAGCGCCAGACGCCGTGATTCTCCAGCTTCCGAGCCAGCTCATAGCCCCGCCCATCGTCGCCGAGTAAGGCAGCCATACTCTCAGCCCTCCCCTCTCTCCGAATTCACGTTCTCCGGTGTGTTTGCTTCAAATGACTTGCATATGTATAGGTGGGCAAGAATCTAGATCCATTTTCTCCATCCAAAATATAGATCAGTTCTTAATAATGTTTTGTTTTGTTTGAAATACACAGATTTTTTTCATCCCAAAGTATAGATCAGTTCTTAATAATGTCACTTGGGTTCGTTAATGTTGATGTTGTATGTACTAGTTCTCTAACTCAGTAAAAGAAAATAAATAATAAATTTATAATGTATATAAAGACAACACAACGAAATTGTATTCAATATAAACATTAAAAGTATTATATACTAATATTGAGGAATGCATAGTGAAGACAAAAAACAAAATTAAAAGTTTTGAAACACTTCCTTGTACACTATATTTCTAAATCAAGTTAAAATAAATGTTAAACAAAAATAGCGTACAATAACATAATCATTTAAAATGTCAAATCAAACACAAAGCTTGAGGATGAGATGTGGTTTGAAAATAACCCTAAAAAAGCGGTGTTTCTTTAATTAAAAGAGGTCCAAAGTATTCGACATTATCAAAGCCTCATCACACGCTTCTCAGTGTAAAATTATATCATGTTTTTACTATTTCTCAACTGTTACACTTTCCCATAAATTTTTAATCTTTCCCATAAACTTTTATATTTTACTATAAACTGTTACATTTTTTTCATAAGTACAGAGTTTACCTTGTTCTGTTCGAAGACAGTCCATGGTTGCCACAATCCATCTAGCCAAGTCAAAACCTTACATGCTTTGATGTTTTTGGATGGAAAATCAAAATAAAATTCTACATACCCGACTTGCCACAGCTTCATCGCAGCAGAATCCAATCGTTTCAAAACCCTAGCTCAGGGCATGGTTTCCGGCAAGCAGGGAGCAGAGAGGGCACTGTTCCTTTTCTACGGATCTGGTGGCGGAGACCTTTTGTCGTAGCAAGATGCAAGAGTTTCAAAACCGTAGCCCAGGGCATGGTTTCTGGCGATCGGTGAGCAGAGATAACACTGTTCCTTTTCTACGGATCTGGCAGAGCTTGAGAGAAGTATGAGCGGAGGACCCTAGATAAAATGACCGTTTAGCTTCTCCAACACAATCTCTCTAATCGATGAAGTAGAGCGCAGAAAAGGGAGAGGAGAGTCGTGCGGCTAGCTGCTGCGGAAGAGCAGAGCCAGAGCGACGTAGAGGAAAGAAAAAAAAGAAGGAGAAAAGGTGAAAAAAACACCTTAAATAGGGAGGCAGCAACGGAGGCCGGGGCGGGTGCACGGTCCTTTCTTTTTACGAATTACTTCTCCCCATACGCTCTCTCCAATTGATGAGACAGAGTACTGTTTAATTTCCTAGCATTGGGCGGGAAATAGCTACTGTTCATTTTTCTCTTTTACCTTTGTATATTACTCCGTAAAAGATGTTAGCAGGACTAAAAAGTTCACCATATATATATATTCCAAAACATTAGGACAAGATTTCTTGATCACAACTTCACGCCCCATAATTTTGGAATTCATTCACACATTATTGTATGATATATCGGAGCATATAAGTGCCAGAATTGAAATCCGGTTTTCTCTCCCCCTCTCTCTCTTTCTTTCTGCCTTCTAACAATAGTTTCATTCTCAATCTTGAAGCAAACGTTGCGCCATTTCTCTAACATCCCTTCCCTTCTCTGTTTCTCTGTTTTTTTCTTCAAGAACAGGGGAGGGGGGAGTTTCAAGATGCTCAAATGTTTTTCATGAAATCATTCACTTATTCATTTTCCCTCACCCCTTAAGGTCGTATATACGCATTGTTACCTGACTTTTGGGCCATTCACAATGACCATGGAAGGCTGTAAGATTTCTATTCCGTGTATTGGGTTCGCATTTAGGATAATCACGGATTTATTCTTCTTGTTGTTGTAAAAGAATGTGTTTGAATTCATATGCAGGTGAGGTGCTTGTCGAAATTCCCGTGAGAGCTGAGATAAAAGGGATTGAGTTTTCTGAAGAAGATCAAGGGAAGAAAGATGGTGACAGCGAAGGCATTGGGTCGTCCCCCAGGGGAGTTTTGGAGATCCCTTTGTCGGGTTCGTCCGATTCTGATAATAGCAGCACTGAGGGGACCGGAAGTTTTGAGGAAGACAAGCCAGAGGCAGCCTACTCTCCAGGTGGGGGCCTGAGGGACCAGCTGTTCGACCCGTATGCGATGCAATGGAAGAATTTGTTCAGTTCAATTAAGAGGAAATCTGCGAGGAGCATCTCAATCATCCCATTGCTTGGAGGTGTTGAGATGATCACAAGGAAGAGCAGGAAGAAGTTGTCAGGTAGCAACCGCATCTCCGATGATTGTGGTGATTTCTTGATTCCTAAACCTTCTTGGAAGAATTTTAGTCTCCGCGAGCTCGCGGATGCCACTGATAATTTTAGTCCTGGTAAGATATAATTTTGTCTCCTTGTCTTTGGAATATAACCTTGGAAGCACTTTTTTTTCTAGGGGATTAATCAACGACCTTGGATTTTGTCTTGAAAACATTTCAGACTTTGTCTTTGAAGCACACTCTGTTTCCTTTCCCTCACTAGCTATGAAAAAAGGGAACCTACAAATCAATGCATCATTAAAGAAACAAGAACTACGTATGTTAGAAATCTTGTAGCTGAAACTTTTCTCTCCAACATGCAATACACAAACAAGAATGTATGCATTTTAAAATTCACAAAAGTAAATATTCATGAATTATAGTATTATACAATATTAAATACTCTGTATTTGCTAAGAACTCAGGTATTAAAATAAGAACTATCATGACTGATAAGGATAAATTGGTTTTGAATTTTCTGTGCATTATTAGGAATTTCTTGAATGGAAAACAAAAGGCATGCACAACGCATAGTTATTAAAGGCGCTCGCCTCTCTCGCCTACGGCGCCTCAGGCGACCAGGCGAGCTCTGCCTCAAGGAAGCCAGGCGAGGCGAGATCCCTAAGGCGCGCCTAAGGCGGTCGCCTTTCTCACTTTTCTTGCTTCAATCACTGCCTCAGGCGTTCGCCTAGCTCGCCTTTCTTGCCTCAATCACTGCCTTAAGGCTTTAGGATATACAATGCATAATATTTATTGCTATATATTACTCCATTATATATATATATGTGTGTGTGTGTGTGTGTGTATGTATGTATGCATGTATGCATGCATGCATTGTTCGCCATTTGACCACCCGTCTCTCGCCACGCCTCTCGCCATAAAAAAGGTCCTCTCCCCCGCCCCTTGCCACTCGCCATTAATAACTATGGCACAACGATATTAAATAAAAGCTTCATTTGGTAGCATTATTTGGTCAATCATGTTTACCAATGAGAAGAATAAGTAGCTTTTTACATACTTGGTTGAAATGAATTTTACCAAGTGTTTTTCCTTTCACAAAATTCAGTAGATTCTCCAAACAGGTAAAGGCTTGATTCTTATTTGTTGCAGATAAGTTGATTGGGAAAGGGGGCCATGCGGAAGTGTACAAGGGATGCTTTAGCGATGGACAAACTGTCGCAGTGAAGAGGATAACAAAGCAAAATAAAAATGATGAGGACAGAGTTGGAGATTTCTTGGCAGAGCTAGGGATCATTGCTCACATCAATCACCCTAATGCTGCAAAGTTAATTGGTTTCAGTGCTGATAACGGTTTACACCTTGTTCTCCAATATCTCCCTCATGGAAGCCTGGCTACTGCTTTACACGGTGCTGATCCTAATAAGTTTCTCAATTAACTGCATTTTTTTGTAGACTACTTTTATTAGGCTAGATCACCTAGAGCGAAATCGAGTTTGAGTGCAAGTGCGGGTGCACAAAAGCGCTAAAATATAAAAAGCACGAGTGCGGGTGCACCTTAACGCATTAATTAAAAATAAAAAAACATATATAATGTATATATGTATGCTTCATAATCACCCATGTTTTTAATGACATTATTAATTCTCGTTTCGAACAATATATATTATGCACACTATAATTCTCTTAAACTCTAAATTCATTTTCTTATTGTCATTTACGACTAATCATATATAATTTAAACATAAAACATACGAAGTATGTCATAATGTGAGAGTTTGAAAATACTGGAATCTTAGACTTTTAAATACCAAAGTGAAAGAATATAAAGAGAGTTTACAATTAGAAAAAAATTCTTGAAAATAAGAGAAGATAAACTATATGAAATTCTAAACAAGAAAAAAAAAGAAAAAGAAGTAGTTCTTATTGAAAATTTAAAACCAAAAAGAAGCCCAAGTTCTGGTTTCTTACTATTTATCTCGTTCATAGTAAAAAAGAACACATACTTTTACGGAAATTTTTATAAAACAGTGCACTTGGCTTATGAAGTTGATCAATAATTAAATAGAAATTGTATTGTTTATTTAATGTGGAGTATAAAAATGTTTTTTTGAGATTTGTTTTTCTGAAAAACTATTTTATTATTAGTATGTAATGTAATTTTTATTTAATTTATAATTAATATTTATTTAATTGTGTTGAAAAACACTGGATAAATATTTTGAGATTGAAAACACATTTAATAAGATATGAGTAAATTTACTCTTTTGTCACCTGGTAAATTTACTCCTTTTTTTTCATTTAACTTAAAAAAAATTATCTTTTCTTTTGAGGATTAAGTGCCACCCTATCTTTTTAAGAAGAATTATGTTACCCACTTTTAGGACCATTTGGTACATCCCAGTTTTTTCTATTTTATGTGCTTATAAAAAGCAGTGTGTAGTTTTTTACTCATTTGTCCAAAAAGAATGCTACCAAATGGGTGCAAAGTTAGCTAACAATCGAATCTTTTCTATACGTGTTTTTCCATGAAGAAATTTTGAAGAGGAGAAAACACTTTAAGACCAAAATATAGTCTAAGAGGCGAAATGAGGTACTAACCTATATTTTAATCTAAAACCAAAACCAAATCTTTCATGATCAGGTTCACAAGATTGTTTGGAATGGAAAGTGAGGATAAAAGTGGCTATTGGGGTAGCAGAAGGATTGCATTACCTTCATTCTGATTGTCACAGGCGCATCATCCACAGAGACATCACTGCTTCAAACATATTGCTTACGGAGGATTTTGAACCACAGGTTTTAAATGGCATTCTTTGTGGTTTATACTTGATCTAGAGTATTTCATAATTAGAGTGTATTTCCCTCTTTACAAGCTTTTCTTCCGACGGGAACAGAGAAAAGCCGATTTATATTTAGTTGTTGTGCAGATATCGGACTTTGGACTGGCAAAATGGCTCCCAGAAAATTGGGTGAACCATGTAGTTTCCCCAATCGAAGGCACATTTGGGTATGGAAAAGCACTCTGATGCACATTATTAGAACATTCTCCGTCACATTCTTTATTTCCATTTGCTGCACACTAAATTATCAGCTGTGTTATCGTATCAGATATATGGCTCCTGAATATTTTATGCATGGAATTATTGATGAGAAGACTGATGTCTTTGCCTTTGGGGTTTTGCTGCTTGAACTTATAACTGGTCGCCGTGCAGTTGATTCTTCAAGGCAAAGCCTTGTGATTTGGGTATGTTGACTTTAAGTTGTCTCTGTGCAGCATATCATATAAATCTTTGTTTGGACATAGAAATACCAATGGAATAGTAATGCCGAGTTAAAACTAGATTTAGGTCATGTTCTCCTCAACTTATTCTTATTAGAATCAGATCAGAAACATCTTTACGAAATTGACATTAGTGCCATGCTTTTTCGATGTTTAGGCAAAACCTCTGCTAGAGAAAAACGACATCAAAGCAATAGCAGATCCCCGTCTGGGAGATGCGTATGACACCGATGAAATGAAGCGCGTCATGTCTGCAGCTGGAAACTGCATTCATCACGTGGCCAACAATCGCCCCACCATGAAGAAGGTACGTAGGATTACCGTTCATAAGTTATTTTGAGAACTAACCCTGAGATTCAGGCATAGAATCAGCCGTATTGGGGTAATTTACCTAAATAGGAATAAAATATAATGACTTTCTCAATATAGGACCATATGTTTTTATTTCCTAATGTAGGACCATTGGTCATTATTTACTAGTCATTATTCAACTAAGTGTCCAGCATCACTTAGACATTATTCTTCTCACTAGTCATTATTGAGTCCTACTTAGGGAATAAAAAAGTTCAAGTCCTATATTGGGAAATTACTTATGTTTTAGTCCTATCCATTGCAAATTTCACTTGTTAAAATGAAAACCATATTGGAGTAATTTTGGCAGGTTATCCAGATTCTCAAAGGGGAGAAAGAAGAGGTGGAAATGAAGCCGAAGTCGATGGAAGGGAGACCGCTGTTCTCTGGTTCTATAGACTTGGAAGACTACACCTCCACAATGTATCTCACGGATCTCAATCGCCATATGCAGCTAGTAATGGAATGATACTTATGATGAGTCCTTCTAACACCGTTTCTTCCATTTTTTTGTTGTTAAAAAAAAACCCAGTGTTGTTGTATATATGAAGAAGAAGCTTCAATATGTGAATGTGTTGAGTGTTGTAGCACTAGCAGCTAAGGACAATAACTTTGGGATGTTTATATGTGTATGGTGTGTATTTATATCAGTGGCTGCCTGCCTCCCAGTGAAAATGCATTAGAGGGCCAGCAGCAAAGAATGACACAGTAGGAAAGTATGTAGTGCCTTTCAGTTTTATGGTCTATTATTACAAGCTATATTTGCGGAAGAAAATCAAGAGTTTCTATAACTCACCATCTCTTCCATTCAAATTATTATATATTCACTCTCTCTAAATGTTTACCACATTTCAAAAAATGAGGCAAAATATCATGTTTTTTTAATTTATTTTATTTAAATGTTGGTATAGAAATAAAAAATAAAAATTACATATTCAAAAACTACAAAAAAAATTCTTCGAAATGAGAGGCATCAAGAATATTTTATTTTATCAAATAATCAATGAAAACATATAAATAAACAAAGTTCTCGTGATGGTTGAAAAAAGAAATGTGACAAACATTTATAAAAGAGGAGACTTCAAAGACTTTCCCCCTTAAGAAGAGCGTTAACATGGTATGAATTGTTCACTCAAAATGATGAGGTTGATCGGGAAAAATTTTTGTAAAGAGAGATTGGAGAAGAAGTCTTTTTAAAATATCATTCAGAGTGCTCTAAAAAGTACTCCCAATAAAATTTACATCTTTTCTTCTTCGTTATTTTTCACACTTCACATGTTTCCTTAATGAATGGAAAATATGAGTTACAATTTTCTCTCTTCTCTACATAAAATTTAATCATACCGCCTCCATCCTAAAATTATCGTTATAATTTGACTTTTGTGATTATTTGACTATGAGTTAAATAAAAATATAAATCAATAAATATTATAAAAATTTGATAAATGAAAATTATATCTTAAAATAAATTAAATTAAATTAAATTTATATTATAATTAAATTTGTTTTTTAATAATATATAGTCAAACTTTCCAAATAGTCAAACCAGTATGACAATTTTAGAATGGAGGAAGTATATACTTTTCACTTTACAACATTTACCTTGAACTCAATAAAGCCAAATTGTAAAATTTAATTTAAAACAAAGAGCGTACGAAACCACTCAATGTATGAAGAATCGAATTTGTATAATAATTCTCTAACGCCTTGAAACCCAGCTTATCAAAATTAATTAATTATTGAGATGCACCTGAGATTAATTAGAAATAATTGTCAACAAGTTATAAAAGTCATACCCTTGTTTAGAGTTCGATGAGACGAATCCAATGATGCAAATAGATATGATATCGGAGTAAATTGGCCCAAAAATGTATTTTCCCTGAGATACGTTATTTAATTATGGAGCACGAATCCTTAAGATATTAAAATACCCCTTCTTCGTGTGTGTAACCATATACACACGCCGCACGCCTCACCCATCTCTAGTAGAAGAGGAGGAGGAGGAGGAGAAGAAGAAGAAAAAGAGATCACAGTTTTAAATCTTTTCAAATCCTTCATTTAAGACGTGATATCATTTTTCTTTTAAATTTCAAATCACGAGTATGTTATTTAACACATTTTATCTTTGAAATGAGGTGTTGTCACATACCACATGACCACTTTTAATTTGAACACATAACGACTTTGTAAAGTCAAATTCTTGTACTCCTTCCCGGAAAATACTTCCTCTTTCATAAAAAAAGGATGAACCCCATCCCCGTAGGTCTCCTCAAATTTGACCGGACGGTTACTGAAAAGAAAAAAAATGGACTTTAATCACAAATTGGTGGCAAAAAGTGAAGTCTGCACCTAGTACATGCAGAGGCTCTATGCTTAGCATAGTTGCCTCCCAGCGCAGTTTCCATGAATCGAATTTGGGTCTTACCCCCTTGACACCCCTTGTCTTGTCAACTGCACAATACCCACCGACCTCTTTCATTTTTTTCTCTTCCATCAAAACACTTTCATCTTTTATTAAAAAATTATTTTTATCCATATTTTTTCTTACTCTACCTGTCACATCATAATTTTTTTTAATAATCTATCCATCACATCTTACTTTGGCACTTGGTCAAAATTAGAAGTCAATTACAGTTTTACACCTTCTTATTTTGGCACTTGGTCAAAATGAGAAGTGTTTTTAAGAACGGATGGAGTAATGCATTTTTTAGACGGGAAAGATGGAAAGTTATAGGCCATGTTTGAAAAAGGCTTTTTCATTTGGGTTTTGGCTTCTTTAACTGACTTTCGTTATTTTGAGTAATTAAGCAACCAAAATCATTCTTTGGAAAGTACTCCCTCCGTCCGGAAATAAAGTTTAGAGTAAATTCAATAAAAAGTCCCCAGTTATAGGTCGTTTTACATATTTAGTCCCTACTTATCAAATATTACTAATTTAGTCCCCAATTATTATATACATTTCCAAGAATTGTCTTTTGTTAACATTTTCGTTAAGAACGTAGATAAAATTGTAAATTCACACTCTTTTCTCTCCTTAATTAAGCTTCCTCCATCCACTCGCACTCTTTTCCCAAACCCGTCGCTGAGTTTGAAGCTTTGAACTCAAAACGGAAATCATCACTCTTCCCTCAATTGTTTGTTTAACTGGAGGAATGATCATTTAAGTTTTGGGTTTAGAACTTTAAACTCAGCGACAAGTTTGGGAAAAAGTATGAGAGGAGGGAAGGAGCTTATTTGAGGAGAGAGAGAAGTATGAATATACAATTTCATCAACGTTTTTAACGGAAATGTTAACAAAGGACCATTCGTGGAAATGAATATAATGATTGGGGACTAAATTAGTAATATTTGATATGTAGGGACTAAATATGTAAAACGACCTATAACTGGGAACCTTTTATGGAATTTACTCTAAAGTTTACGTTTCTCCTTTTTCTCCGTCCGAAAATAAAGTTTACATTTCTAATTTTAACCCACACTCTTCCAAAAATACCCTTCTCTACCATTTCAATTTCTCTCTTCCTCTCCCCTTCCTCCTCTCCTTCCTTCGTTCCCCTTCTCTTCTTTTTCTTTCTCCCATCCGCCAGATCTATACCTTTTCAATCCTCTTTCCCCGTCCATCTTCTTCTTCTTCTTGCTTTTCATTCTTCTTTTCTTTCTCCCGACCTTCATCTGTTTTTCCCCTCCCCCCTACCCGCATCTTACGATTTCGCAAATGAGATAATCCTCCGGTGGGACTCCACTGCGTCTGAAGCCGCCAGAGAAAAGATGATTTTCGGCGGTAACCGGAAAGAGGCCGACCTGTACTTGCGTGCCGTCGATGAAATCCAGCGGTCAATGGAGTCGGCCACGCTCTCCGATGACCGGAGCAAGGCCAACTACTCGATCCAGATTGACAAATCAAAGCTTTTGCTTCTCGAATTGGTGGTGAGGACGGACGATTGAGGACGATTGAGGACGAGATGTGGGCGGCGGTTTTGGGTGATGAGGAATGATTTGAGGGGGGAGAGGAAACTTCCAGGTTTCTTCAATATGGTTCTCCAATTTTGAGCAGTCCGTCAGGAGGAGATTGGAAAGGGGCATTTTTGGTCATTTCACATGGTTAGTCAACCTCCCTTAAAAATGACCAAAAGTCAAAACGTAAACTTTAATACCGGACGGAGGGAGTATATTTTTACTTAGCTGGCAGGCCCAAAAAGCAAAAATATGAAAACTCAAGGGGAGTAGTTTTTGGACTTGAGTGTTATAAAAATTTATTTTTTATAAAAATTTAATGAGAAAATTAAATTTGACTAAAACTTAAAAATTTAAAAAATAAAATATAAATTAAACTCAATGGGAAGATAAAAATCATAATAAATAATAATAAATAGAAAAAATTTAAAATTTAAAAATAAGATAATAAAATTTAAAATAAAAGGGTGAATATGTTTCTTATCCCGGAAAAATTAATGAGTTTTATTTTTTATCCTTCTAAAAATTTTAAATCGAACCATCCCTATAAAATTATTATTTTTCAAATAGTCCTTGAATTTAAATACGAAGTATATGTTTTGATCTCTTTAAAATTTATAAATTTAATTTTAGTCCCTTTAAAATTAATTTGGTTTATTAATTCATATTTGAAATTATTAAATACCCCGTGCAAGATTAATTTATTCTCAGTATTCAAATTAATTTATTAAATTATTAGGTCAAAGTAAAAGAAATATTTCTAGAAGCTCAATCCAATTGCTACAGTATTATTATAAATTTATTTTAAAACTTGGTAAACTAATACAAAGTACTTTTAAAAAGATCTTTACATAAATTAATATTTTTAGTAAAAATATTAGTATCTCTCTGATGTCTTTAAAAGAGAAATATATGACTCGTTTTTATGACAAAACTTTTCTTCTATTGCTACTCATATATAATACCCCACTGTCCCAGAGTATTTGTCCACTTTCATTTTTATACACCATCCAATACACTTCTTTAATCCATTTTATCTTGTAATTTGTATATTAAAAAATTATAGAAATTATATATTAATAATCTATATGTTAAGACAAATCAAACAAGATCACACATGACTATATTTAGGCTTACACATTGAGAGAATTTGATGAGTCAAAGTGATTAGATGAACAATTCCAAAAGTCAAAAGTGGACTAATATAGCGGGACGGAGGAAGTATGTATATAATTTTTGTATTATTTTTTAAATCTCGAAACAACTAATTCAAAGAGCTACTCCCTCCGTTGGTCCCTCCTACTTGGATCTTTTCATACACTATTCACATGATTAAATTTTATATATTTTATTTTATTATTTTCGTTAGACATTTGATAATAAAATAATCATATCCTTTTTAGTTTTGTATATTTTTGACATAGTTATTAAATTTATAATTTTTATTTATAAATTTTACACCTAAAATCAAATAAATTGAATGAAAATAAAGTTGGTTAAAACCACAACACTACAACCTCATCATGTCCTACTGTCCTTCACCGCCCGTCGATCATAAAATACCGACATCATTGTCCCACCACCACTCCGTTAATGTCCACTATGCACGACTTCCGTAGAGACTCTAATAATATCTAATATCGTTGTTAATGTCTGCATGTCCATTGCCAACGGTTGAAACAAATGCATTGTCGTCATTATAAATGTCCACACAAAAATTGCAAATACAATACGCCAACTCGACAATAGACAAAAGTGAAATTTGCACTAAATAAGACTAAAACATAAGTCATTTCTCAATGTAGGACTTAAACTTTTTTAATCCTTAAGTAAGACTTAATAATGACTAGTGAGAAGAATAATATCCAAGTGATGCTGGATATTTAATTGAATAATGACTAATAGATAATGACCAATGACTTAAAATTGGAAAATAAAAACATATGGTCCTATATTAAAAAAGTCATTATATTTTAGTCGTATTTAGATAAATTACCCTAGACAGAAAATGAGACAAAGAAATCCCAAATGTGATTCATAGCATTCCCAAATGTTAACGTACACAGCCCAAAGGAAGCCTAAAAATCTAAACCCGAAAATGTCACAGGCGTACCGCGTACACGACCCAACCCCTCACGGGCTTCAGCTGATTCGGGCTCAATCCTTAACGCGCCTTCAAAACACCTCTGAGCATCATCCTTCCGGCCCTCAGCCTCGTAACACCGGCCCAATAAGCAAAAGGCACCGGCATTATCCGGGCTCAACTTCACGGCCTGCTCCAGGTCCGCCACCGCGGAGGCGACTCGTCTCCTCCGATTAAGCGCCACCTGCATCTCCGCCCGCTTATACAGAGCTTCCCCTCTTTCCCGATCCGGCAGCTCCCTGACCGCCGGCTGAGACAGCGCCGTGTCCATTAATTTCAGAGCGGCAGCCTTGTGGCCCATTAGGTCTAACGCAACGGCCTTGAGAATGTACGCGGCCGGGTCCTTGGGGTCGAGCACCAGTGCCTCGTCGGCGGCGGCCGCGGCGGCCTTGGCAAGCTTGAAGGAGCTGGACTTGCTCCGGGCGGACCGGGCACGGGTTAGTAATTGGGCGCCCATGATGAAATGCTGCTGCGCCTGGTTGTTGGATCGGGCTTTCAATCGGATCCGGGCGAAAGCTCGTCTGGGAAGACTGTACATGGCGTAGAATATTCCGAGCGTGAACAGTAGAACCCCGATTTGGATTAGCACGTCCGTTGTCATACAGAGCGTATGTAAAAGAAACGTTATAGCCGTTCAGTGTAAAAACTCAGGATTGAGGATAAGAAGAAAACAGTTTATCAACCGAAAGTTAGAATCAATCTGATTGAACGAACGGGGCATTCTGAACGGGGCAGAGCTTAGAGCTAGATCTAGAACTGAAAACTTGCTTGAGCTTCAGAATTGGACTGAATCCAGAATCAATCAATCGGAATCGTAGTGGAGATGGAAACTGGCAATTATGGTTCCTGTTTCAATATACGGAGTAATTTATTTTTGAGTCCTCTCTCTAATAAAGTGTTTTACGAAATCAATCTTTAATAAATTTTAATTACTTGTGTGATCTTCAAGATTCGAGATTTATTCCTTAGATAATCTGTCGTAACTAATATTACTCAAATGATAATTTTTTTTTTACCAATCAAATGATGACTAATCCTATATATATATATGTAAAGTAGAGTTCCATTGTTGTAGTGTTGACATGTGGCATGCCACATGTGCATCCACTAATGAGGTGGATATATGCATTTCTCATTTAGATTTTTTTAAAAGATCTTTGAATACATTTGTATAAATCTTTTTCATTTTTTAATAATTCTATAAATATATATTTCACCATTGTAAAATATACTATATATATATATATATATATATATATATGCATATTTATATTAATTTATGAAACAAAGTTTTTAAAATAGAATAATGTAATAAATAAAATAAAGATGTATATAAAAAATTGTTTCATTTATCTTATTTTAACCAAATTAACTTCCCACTGTTGACTGTTAACTGTTCACTGTAATACTGTGTATATGTAAGAAATTATTACATGGTAATACATATTATTAATCCACTTTTTATTAAATGAGTACTTAATTAAATGACCATTAATTTTGTAGAATTTGTTTGTTTTTAAATTAACATATCAATTATATTTCACCAGTTTAAAATATATTTTGTCACTATCAAAAAACTAAAACAACTAAAATTATATTTATAGAATCTCAAAAATTTAGAGTATATACGAGCCCGTGTGAAGCACGGGGTTAACACTAGCTGGTTGTATTTTTTATCAACTAAATTTAAGATAAGTTCTTATGAAATGTTACCCAAAATGTACTTTTCTAATATAAGATGTATTTTTATTTGAATTTTAGTAGATTTTTACACGGAGTAGTCTTTAATAATTCATGAATTATGTATAGTGAATTCATTAGTTTTAGTAGTCACAAGAGAAAAATGCATTCATGTTTCGTGCTTACTCAATGTGATGTTAGCAGTGGTGACAACAACAAGAAGCAAAATCGTCAAGGCGCTCAATCTAAACTTTAATGTACATCGTAAAATCTTTTGATATTCTAGTGTTTGTTTATGACGTATTTTGGGGTACTATATACTCACATATAGTAATACTATGTGAAAATGCATTCGTTTACGATTAGTACCTATGAGTTCATTGACATTAGAGTTACTCTCCATTCAAATTTTAGTAAAGTTTTTATGTAAGAGGCAGAGAAATCTCATGCAAAGTTACTCTTCCTTATATGCTTGCAATGGTTAAAGAATGAATGACAATAACACACTTTAATGGTGTAGCTAGTGTAGATTAGAATATATTTCACTAATAGAAATGTGAATCCAAAAGTACAAACCATTAAGTGTATGTAATTTACAAGGAAATTTGCACCAAACTTACGTCAAAGATTAGTAATATTTTCAAAATTCTACCTAGAAAAAAAGTTCTAAAGAAAATACTTTGTGTACGAGAAGTTATAAATGAAAATTATACGTGATTTTCTTTATGTACTTGTAATGCAAATTCAAGTTCTAGAGAGAATATATGCTGGTTTTGCGTGGGTCAAAAGCCCTCGCAAAAGGGTAAATGCCGACACAAAATTAAGTTTTACACCTGGAAATACATATTAATCTTGCTACTATCATTTTATTAATACGGCGGAGGAGGCAGGCCACGCGAAGAACTCATCACCCGATGGCGGTGGCATTGATGAGGTCACAAAATCGGATGTCGCGGGCACGGTGAATCATCAGAAGAGCCAACCGATGAGTTGACGACAGGGCGGTGATCGAGGTAGAAAAAGGGGTTGTTGGTAATACAAGGGATCATTTTGATCAATCGAACCAGGCATAACACAACTGTTGTAATAGAAGGTCGGATATGGCATTCAATTTCACATATATGAATGAAAAATTTATTTTTGCACTAAACTTGCACGTAATTATTATTAGGGGTGGTCGTGAAATCCGTTCCCGTTGGACCGTCCCGAAAAATCCTGGATCCGTTTTGTAATTGTACCGATATATTGGGACACATTTTTTTTGTCCCGAACCCGTTCCGTCCCAATATCAAATGGGACATGAGCGGGACAGCTTAAATTTATACCGATTCGTCCCGTTTGTCCCGTTTCATCTACTCTACTAATATATAATACTAATTCTAGTCCAAAATCCAAATACACTCATTCTTTAATTAATTAGTTATTTAATTAAATTAACTACCTTCATGAGCTTGAAATTTATTTGGACCCGTTCCACTCATTGTTTTTTGCTAGATGGCTAGATGTTTCTTTTTTTTTGAATGAAATGTCACCTTCTTCCCCTTCTTATATTTGCGATTAGGACAAAGTAGGACGACCCGAATCCGTCCCGTTTTATTCCGATCCCGAATTTTATGGGACAAACCGGGATTAGATTGTAATCTGAACCGTTCCGGACCGTTTGTATATAACGGGACAAGACGTGGGACAACCTAAAATCCGGACCGTCCCGATCCATGCCCACCCCTAATTATTATTACTTTTTAAAACGGGTGGTTTTTGAACGACTAGTGGCTTCTACGTTTAGTAAGACTCTCATATCGATCATATCAAAGAACTCATTCAACTACAAGTTCAAACTTGAATTGTAAATCTAGACGGACGAAAGATTTTTTACATTAGCATTGTACGGTGTACAACCTTTTTTAATAGCTCAATAGGCAATTAATTGATGTAAGAGCATTTCTTATAGTACCGTATATATTGAGTTTTGGAATTGTTCATCCTCCACCAGTACTCCATTTCTAACAGAAAAATAGGTTTTGTAGTATTTCAAACCCAAATAAGGTTGAGATTTGAAGTACTTCATTGTCAGGTAGTGAGACAATCGTTACATTAACGACAACCAGGAAAGACTAAGAATATGGAAAGAAGACAATGAATGCAAGCATGCTTCTTGCCCTTTCAATTCAATTCCACTCTTGGATACATAATAAATAAAAGACAAAAAAAATTAAATTAAGCATTTATTTTTGATCATGTTAAATCCGCTGTTAAATAAAGTCCAAAATCTAATAACCAACTTCTAAAATGTGCTTTCCAAATAAAAATTTGATCATGATATTTAAATGTTGTTCTAAGGAGTTAAGCAAAAGAATCTAGTCAAGACTCTATTACTCCAGCCACCAAAATGGTTATATTTTATACTCTACTCGCTCATAAAAATTATTTATGTTTTGACTTCTTTTTATTAAATAATGACATATATTGATCATTAATTGTGAAAAAAACATATTGAATTATAATATAAATTTAATATAATTAGTTCATTTTATGATATACTCCCTCCATCCGAAAATGTTCTTCCCATTTGACTTTTTACGGTCTCCAAGATTAAACTTTGACCACTAATATCTTTATTTATACATTGATATATTTTATAAAACTTTGATATTTGAAAACTATATTTCAAAATAAATATATTCGTATTAAAGTTATATCCTAATACAATGTATTTTTTCCACATATCATAGCCAAAGTTTACAAACTTTGACCAAAAAAAGTCAAATGAGAAGAATATTTTCGGACGGAGGGAGTATATCTTTGATATATCAAATTTTTATAACATTTATTTATTTAAATCATGTTTAAATTTTTTTATCAAAGAGTATCGATGCCACACTAAAAAAACTCAAAAATGAAGAATATTTTGTATCGGAATGAATGATTAATAATGTGACTAAAGATCTTTTTTTATTTTTCCCTAACAAATAAAGTGTTATGCAATTTTAGAAATTGCAGTGGATGGTTTTAATGATTTACCCACAATGTCAGTTGTTGAAATTAAATTTTAAAGGAGAAATAAAATGAAATCATCTTCTTACTTCTTAGGCATGGAAATGATGTCCCGTTTAGACCGCATTAAATTTTTTCTTCCATAATAGCCAATTTTCAAGATATCAGTAAAGGGAGTTGCTAAATTCACCCTAGAAATGACTAATCTACACCTTTCAAGTTATTAAATTAACACCAATATTAAAATTATATTAATGGAGTGGATTTAGCAACTATAAGAAAAAAGATATGAATATAGCCATATTTGGGATAAATTTCAATGCACATCTCTAAAATGAGCTTAATTAAAAAAATATGTATGTAGTACTTCATACTATAAAGAGTATAGACGATAGAGTAGCCAATAGAAGCCAGCATTACTTCAAAGCATATATGTTTCACATTGACACATTGTACTCGCGTAGACAAGTACACGACTTCACCATTATATCTCACTCTCGGAAGATACCATTTGTCAGATAGTAACCAGAATTATTCTCTGTATTGTTGGCAATTAAGAATGACGTAGTTGTAACTTCATTAACGATATCGTAAAAAACCAGATACTGATCAGGAACATTTAAAACATTACTTTGTCCGCAAACTCGGAAGAAACCATGCCATATCCAAAGATCATTTGACGCTACTGTTTCAAGCATTAACATCGTGTGACCCCATCAATATTGACCTAGTCAAGTCGTTGGGCAGGTCGCTCACTCCCAGTACATACAGTCAATGCTATCAAGCATTCTTAGAAATTCATATATACATCTCCTACCTTATGAATATCGTATATTTTTTAAAAGTCATTCTATGATAGTTTCCACAAATATTTTTTACCATATAGTGTCATGACACTTTCAATATAAAATAAATTAAAATTCTACACTATATATATTGGGAAAATTTTAATTTTTACAAATTAATTATAAGAACACATACATTTGCAAAATACATAGTGTATCTTGACTTATTTTTTCGGACATCTTCAAATATTCATACCAAAAATCAGAACTTGTATCGTAAGCTAATTGGAGAATTGCAAATGTACACTTTTGTAAATTCATAAATCCAAGTTTACCCTTTCCATCTGAAAGTTGTTGGGAGTATTCAAATTGCGCTTGCAAGTCATTGGCTATTTTACAAAAAAGACGTCAGCTCATCCAGAAGCGTCTAGCAAATGCCGAGTCGTTGTATGTTGGCTCGACACAAAAAATAATTTTCTATGAGACGTTGGTTCTCGGCTACACGATCTCGATTGATTTTTATTCGTCTTCTAACAACCCTTCCGTTTTCATTCCAACTCAGACTCACAATAATTTGAGCCAGAATTCACATTGCTTCTATAAATATTTTATCCTCACTAGATGAATAAAAAGAAAGAGAGTTCAGAAAATTAATCTTTTAAAAGTGCATTGAAAATTAAATTTAAGAATGAATAGAATTTTAAAGAAATGAGAGATAAAGAAATATGAAGGGAATGAATTTAAAAAGTAAAATTTACTCGTCTACTCCATCCATTTAATAAAAAGATTCTTATTTTGACTTTTAAGAGAAATAAGGTGCTTATATTTGTAGTTGATTTTTCAATTTTACTTTTAATGTGATGAGTAAAAGTAAGATGTGATGAATAGATCATTAGTGTAAAAGTATGATGTGATAGGTAGAGTAAGAAAAAGTAAAAGTAAAAATAATTTTTTTAATAAAAAATAAAAATGTTTCAAGGAAAAAATGAAAGATTGAAGTATTTTAAGAAAATAAGAATATAAGGTTAGATAGTAAAATATAAGAGAGTATAGCGTTTGAAATTTGAATTTGAATTTTTTTTGGGTAATTTACCTAAATAATATTAAAACATAATGACTTTCTCATTATAGAACCATATGTTTTTATTTCTCAATGTAGGACTATTGATCATTATTTATAAGTCATTATTTCACTAAATATCCAGCATCACGTGGACATTATTTTTCTCATTAGTCATTATTAAATCCTATTTAGAGAATAAAAAAATTTCAATTCTACATTGAAAAGTAACTTATGTTTTAGTCCTAATAAATTTTACATTTTTTAGGGCGTAACCATTGAAACAAAAAAAATGTTCCGTGGCCACAGATCTGGTCATGCGGGCGACTCACGACGGCGGTAGCTCGTGGTCACGCGACGCGGCACTGCCACGGAGGACTACGGGAGAGGTGGCGTGGGGCATTACGGAGAGCCAAATGGGCCACAAGGTAGCCGCTCTGACGCTGTCTCAACCGGCGGTTAAGGAGCTGCCAGATCGGGAAAGAGGGGAAGCTTTATATAAGCGGGTGGAGATGCTGGTGGCGCTTAGGCGGTGGAGATGAGTACCCTCCACGCCTCCACGGTGGCGGACTTCGAGCAGGCCCGCCGCAAAGTTGAGCCCGGATAATGTCAGTGCCTTTTGCTTATTGGGCCGGTGTTATGTGGCGGAGGAGGGCCTGAAGGAGCATGATGCTCGGATGTGTTCTGAAGGCGCGTAGAGGATCGAGCCCGAATCAGCTGAAGCCGGTGAGGGATTGGGCCGGGTACGCCTATTACATTTTAGTGCTTAGACTTTTGGGCTTTGTTTGGGCCGTGTACGGTAAGATATTGGGAATGATATGAATCGCTATGACATTGCAATTGTTTGCAATTGAATGATATTTATTTGTCTCATTTTCTCTCTTGGCGTATTTTATTTGCAATTTTTGTGTGGTTCAATGACACTCAGGGGTTGTGTTTTGGTGTTGAGTTTTAAAAAATGAAAAATCTTTTTTAAGAATTTAAGGAAAGTATATTTTGATCTTTGAGTTTAAAAAAATGTCGTTTGATGTGATCGTTAAAGTAAGATTGATGGATAGATTAATAGTGAATAGATGTGATGTGATATTAGGATAAAAAATGAGTATGAATAAATGTGACTTTTTAATAAAAATGAGAAATTTTTTTAGGACATATGAAATAAGAAACGGGAAAAGTTTTCAGAGACATATAGAGTATTAAATACAAATAATAAACTTTTACTTTTTTTTAATTTAAATGGCAAACATCCCTCATCCCAAACATACTCTTTGCCCTTCCAGTTTTCTAATCTCATATAAAATTAATAAATTTATTTGACTTTGTAAAATAGTTCGGAAAATGTGTTCAAATTAAAAGTGGTATGTGAGTGCCACTTATTTCAAAGATAAAACGTGTAAAACAACACTCTTTTTTCTAAGGCTCCCGTTGTGTGGGTCAAGTCTATGGGATGTGGTAAAGGCTACTTAAGATCTAGACAACGAACTTGGTACATCCCGAAAAGGCCTGCCTATCACGGGCTTTCTTTCTTTTAATTTGGAGTAAATTTCATAAAACGTCCCCAATTATAGGTCGTTTTACATATTTAGTCCCTATATATCAAATATTACTAATTTAGTCCCCAATTATTATATTCATTTCCACGAATGGTCCTTTGTTAATAAGCTTCCTCCATCTTCTCATATTCTTTCCCAAACTCGTCACTGAATTTAAGCTCTTAAATCCAAAATTTAAATGATCATTCATAAACAATTGAGATAAGAGTGATAATTTTGGTTTTTGGTTCAAAGCTAGAAACTCAGCGACGGGTTTAGGATAGGAGTGCAAGGGAAGAAGGAAGCTTAATTGAGGAGAGAAAGGAGAGTGAATTCGTAATTTTATCCACATTCTTAACGAAAATGTTAACAAAGGACCATTCGTGGAAATGAATATAATAATTGGGGACTAAATTAGTAATATTTGATATGTAGGGACTAAATATGTAAAACGACCTATAACTAGGGACCTTTTATGGAATTTACTCTTTAATTTGTTTATAAAATAAAGCCATCCCTTAAAAACAAGGGCAGTTTGCCCTCAATTATTATGGGGATATCTATATATGTTGGGCCATCCAATAAAAATCCAATACTCAGAAATGAAGTCACTATGGCTTCTTAGCAGTCTCATAAACATAAGAGGGGATCCTATCAGTTCGAAATTAAACTACCAAAACACACTTCGAAAATAATTCCTATATATAATTAGAGATTGCCCCTGCAATGCAGGTCAAAAACAATGCATATATAACCTAACTAAAAGGAGCCTTCCATCCACCAAGCCTTGGAGTGAATAATACTGGCGGTAGAAGGCAAACTATATATATATATATATAAATTGTTCAAAGTTAAATACCCAAAAAAATTACTCAATAATAGCAGTTAGTAATCTGATCTTGTTGGAGTTGTTCCAACATGGTAATCAATATTAATGTAGCTGTCATTTAATTGATCCGGTGGAGGGGGAAACACGAAGAACTCATCACCATATGGTGGCATTGACGGGGTCACCAAATCGAATGCCGCGGGCCCAGGCGAATCAGCCGAAGAGCCGACCGACGAGTTGACGACCGGGTGGTGACCGGGGCATAATAAGGGGCCGTTGTAATACCAGGGATGAGTTTGAACAACCGGACCGGGCAGAACCGGGCCGGGAACCGGGTTGCTGGGGACCGGGGACTGGACCATGCCGAAGTTACTGAAGATGCCGTCGTCCCCAAAACCAACCCTGCCGTCATACGGCATTGCTCCCGCCTCGTGGGCCCCGCTAGTCTCTTGAGGCCGATCCAGATCATCACCGCCCCCTCCGGCGGCGGCGGCGCCAAGCTTCTGGCGCTTGGCGCCGTTGCCGATGGGGAGGGTGGTGGTCAGGATGGTCTCAATGTCGTACCGGCTAATCTCAAAGTTTGTCACCGCACGCGTTCCCCTGAACTTGATGGCCGCTATGTCGTACGCCTCCGCCGCTTCCTCCTCCGTGGCTGAAACCACATGCCATGCATGATTTTATAATATATCATTAGCGTTTTCAAAGTTAATCTGAAGTATTAAAAAGGTGAATCAGTCACCAAATGTTCCAAGGTAGAGATCCCTATTCCCAGATACACGCCCAATCCGCGCCTGCCAACGACGTCCTTGGTGACGATGCCTGGAAATCAAATTAAATGGATATTTGAATCATAACAATAATTCAACTGATCTGAGGGACCAAGTTTATGAATTCGATGTATAGACGAACCTTGTAACGCCGCGATAAATGGAAGCTCCTCGCGAAAAGCCACTACTCCTCCTGGCATAATGTATCAGACATTAATTATATGAGACCCTTAACTAAAAACACAGAGGTTAATTGAGGGCAAACTAATTAACCTCCTCAAGGTGGCGATGAACTCCTGCCTAGACAGGTCCTTCATTTCTTCCATCTCTTCGCTATAGTCTGAGGCCTGCAGAGAGAGAGAGAGATATGGCAAATGATATGAAATTCGACCACAAGTTCAAACATGTGGTTGTACGTCCAATAAAGATTTTTTTACATTAGCATGCTTCGATCTCATGTGAATGCGAAATTTAATAATTTTGCACGAAACTTGCACAAAACTTGCACGTGAACATTTTTTTTAGAACTACGTGATGGTGAGGTTCGAACGACTAGTATGTGATCTCTACGTTAGTAAAACTCTGATATCATATCATAGAACTAATTCAACTATGGTTGAATTTGACACAATGTCATTGAAATTACTCTGAGATTTTTTTGTGACTAGTATCGATCTATTTAATTAATTAACTGATTTAATCCATTGTTTATCAAAAGATAAGACATATATAGTACTGAAAGACGTACTTTCTTTGATAGCTCAATAGACAATTGATCGATGTAATGAAAAAGCAATTGGCAAAATTACTACTCATAAATATAACATACAGGGAAATTGGTGATCGCATCTGAACCCCAGTACTTTATAGCAGCCATATCATATGACTGAGCAGCCTTCACCTCGTCGTCATATCCACCTATACACATTATTGTATACATGCATTATATACATATTCAAGCTATTAACTAATACTCCACTCGTCTCATTGTATTCATCTAGCCCGACTTTCTTGTGTCAAATTTTAATAATAAATTACTCTAAACTTGTATCACCTATTAATACAATGAGATGAAATTTTGAAACTAAAGCTCTTAACACGACAACTATGGTAAAATCATTTTTATACAAATATATATTATTATAGTTTTTTTGCTTTGAAAAAAAAAACAGTATAGTTTTTATTTACTACCTCCGTTTCTCAAAAGAGTTCCTCTTTTGACTTTGGGGGAAAATAAGGAAGTGTTAAATTGTAGTTGATTTTCCAATTTTGTCCTTGATGTGATGGGTAAAAGTAAGATGTGATAGTTTAGTTGTTAGTGAAAAAGTATGATGTGATAGGTAGGGTATGAAAAAGTAGGGGTAAAAGTGGTTTTTTAATAGAAAGGGGAAGTGTTTTAAGAAAAACAAAAAAAATGAAAAAGAAAGAGTTTTAAGAAACGGATGAAGTATTTAACATCCAGAATTCGTTCAATTTGACTCAAAAAAATCAAGCTAGACGAATATAATGGAATGGAAGTAGTACAACATTAAATATATAGCTACAAACTTACCCAAATACACTGCACTCCATCAACCCACAGTTTGTAGATCGGCGAAGAAAATCGACACGTTTCATGCAAAATTGAGAAAATGATAATCAGTTCGAGTCTAAATAATCAATCTTTTAGTGCAGTCTAAATAAATATATAATTAAATGCACTTGTTTTATAATTTGAAAAAGAATTGTACTATATAGCAAAATTGCAAAGTCAAATTAATTAATTACTCTATAATTAACAAAGGATGATACAATTTGTCAGGTGGTGAGACAAGGATTACGTTGGACGACAACTAGGTAAGACTAAGAATATGGAAAGAAGACAATGAATGCATGCATGCTTCTTGCGCTTTCAATTCAATTCCATTCTTGGATACATATAAATAAATAAAAGAGAAAGAAATTAAATTAAGCATTTAATATCTTTGATCATGTTAAATACTTAAATCCGATGCTAAAGAAAGCCCAAGAATCTAAAAACCAACTTCTACAATGTGATTTCCAAAATAAAATATTGATCATGTTATTTAATTACATTTTGTTATATATGGGAATTAATTAAGCAAAAGAATCTAATCAAAATTTTATGACTCCAGCCACCAAAATGGTTATATTTTAAAATTAATATTGTGGAATAATTCACCCAAAATGTCAAATGTGGAATAAATTAAATTTTGATGGAGAAATGAAATTTAAATCATCTCCTTAGACATGGAAATGGTGTCCTGTTTAATTATACCCCCATTAGATTTTTTTTTCTTCCATAAAAGCCAATTTCCAGTAGATCTGTAAATGAGCTTAATTAGGAAAAAACATATACGGAGTACAGTCTATAGAGCAGTCAATACAAGCCCACATAATACGACAAAGGCGGATATTTTTAGAATAATGAGGGTTGCCAAAGATGTCCTCTAGAGAGAGATTAGAGAGAGAGAGAGACTTTTTACGGTGCTCAAAGAGACAAAACCTCGTAAATTGTAGTATCATTTGAAAAAGCAAAGCTTGATTAAACAAAAGGTCTTGTTTAATTTGAATTTTCAAGTGAATAAAAAATCTATTTAACCATTAATTTCTAATAACTTACTAGTAATTTATAATCCTCCACCACATTTGTATTGTGAAAATAATTTGGACAATTTGTTATATGATATATTTTCGAAGTTCCAATTTACAGAGTATATGATATAGTTTCAAAGTTCCAATTCATAGAGTACGTAATACTCCATCCACCCATAATTTTTTTCATGTTGTGTACGTATTACGATGTATGATTAAAGCAATTTTTAAATTATTTTATTTAAAAATTAATATGTAATTAAAAGATAAAAAAAATTCATAAACTATGAAGTACATTAAAAGATCTACAAGACTAGAACTTAAATTATACTCATCTGTCCAGAAATGTTCTTCTTATTTGACATTTTTTAGTCAAATTTTGTAAACTTTGACTCCATTATATGGAAAAAAATACATTATATTATGATATAACTTTAACATCAATATACTCCTATTGAACAAATATCAAATTTTATAAAATATATCTATGTATAAAAAAAGATATTAGTGGTCAAAGTGCAATCTTGGAGGCCGTGAAAAGTCAAATGTAAAGAATATTTCCGGACGAATAGAGTATGACTATAATTTTATAAAACGCGCAAGGAAAATATGCAAACAATATAAATAAATTTTAACCTTGTAAATAGTGAATGAGAAGATAATTTCTGGATATAATATAATTTTTATTAGTATCCATCCCAATTTCCAAATAAATTATTAGTGATCTTCTAGTTTTTAGCATATTTTTATACATGTTATGCGTAAGAACAACGATTAAACTAGGAGTAAAACAAAGAGAAAATATCAAAAGAGGTCTTCCATATTTTTATTTTCAAAATAGAAATTATAATGCCTATAATGTCAACATATAATACAACAAAAACATTATAGAGTGTCAGTATAAAAAGTCAGATGGTAACATTGCGAAATTCTATTTTAGAGGTAAAATTATGCAACTTTCCGTTTTGGAGATAAGAGATATATATGTTTTACTTGTATTTTGGGTAATTTCTTTTATGAAAGACTATTACATATACTTTGTTGTGTGGATTTCTTCCTTAATTGGAGAGATTCTAGAAAATTCTAGAGCTCTCTAGAGAAGTCATGAACTATCTAGAACAGTTCGGAGAACTCTAGAGAAGTGTAGACTTCTCTAAAAGCTTATGAAAAAGTGTGAAAGCCTCTGGAATATTCTAGACAAGTGTAAAGCCTTTTAGAACCTTATGGAAGGTTATAGAAGAGGATGGATATGTATGAAAATACGAACTTCTAGAGATGTGGAAGTTTTATAACCCTAATCTACCCATGGAGGAGTAGTATAAATAGAGAGAGTCCGGCCGCTTCACTTCTATCCATCAAAGTGAAGAAACCAATCCACTTGTAAAGTGAGAAGTCTCTTAGAGAATAAGAGTGTAAAACTTGAAAAGTTCTAATGTCATCCCCAGTTCACAATCACCACCTTAATGAGATCGTGATAATCACTTCACTAATTGCCTCACTAGAATCTTGTCTACTTCTATAGAAGTATGAAACACATTGGTATAGAACGTCAATGTGTTCGTCAATAGATCATTGTTGGGGCACCATGATCCTCTATCATGTTTTCTCTGAAAATTAACTTGTTGATCACCTCGATAAAGCATTTTCGTTACGTTGGTGCGCTTCTAGTCTCTAGTTTCCAAGTTTCTACTTATTTTGCGTGATTCAACTTGAAGGGATGAGAGATCATGTATATATATCATTATTATCAAATATGGCAATCTTTGTGTATTAGTGAGCTCTTTTTATATGGTAGATTTTTAACCATTTTAGGATGGATTACTAATTAAATATACTTCGTTGTACTTTTCATTTTTATCTACTCGGGTATATTCTACCGTACATTTTGTTGGCGACAGAAGAAGGAAGCTAGATTGAAGAAGGAAACCGAATTTCAAAGGGATTCGGTTTAGTATCTTTCCTAGTTTGTTTAATTCTTATTTTAATAGGAATAAAAATTTTCTTGTTTGCTTTACCCTCTTCCTATATAAAGAGGGTTAGATGTTTGTATTCAAAACCAATTGAGAACAATTCAATATACAAAATATTTTCTCTCTCATCAATTTCTACATGGTATCAGAGCAGGTTTTGAATTCTTGAGACCTCAAACAAGCTTCGTTCCCTGACGGTGGGCATACACAATAATGCCTACCGGCGGGATATTATAATTTTTTATTTTCTTTGATTGTTCTCTCTCACTAAAAAATATCATGAACTCCTTCAACGAAGAACATTGCTGTCGAGGAATCTCGCCCAACCATCAATCTTGAAGAAGTTGTCCGACAAGGGTTGTTTTACAGAGATAGACAACTCTTTCCTTTGCGGGCAGTAAAAAAAAAGTCGACATTCAGGGTGTTCGAAAAGAATGGCGTTCCCCCTGTTTGTTCGAAAACGGTGAAGGTTCGAAGAGAATGGCGTTCCTTTACTCGACTGATTATTCGGCGGATTCGAAAAGCTTGGCGTCTCCGTTGAAAAAAACTGAAGTGTCTAGATGACACTTGGACAATTATGGAAGCGGCTTCCTCGAGCTTTATTCAATCTTTTGATGTCCAAGCTGGGCATGTTGAACTCCCATGCTCCAGCTTGAGGGGGAGTGTTGGCGACAGAAGAAAGAAGCCGAAACGAAGAAGGAAAACGAATCATGTTGGGATTTGGTTTAATATCTTTCCTAGTTTGCTTAGTTCTTGTTTTAGTAGGAACAGAAATATGGTAGGAATAAAAGTTTACTTATATGATTTACTCTCTTTTTATATAAAGAGGATTAGACCTTTGTATTTACGAGAACAATACAATATACAGAATATTTTCTTCCTTATCAATTTCTACACATTTCTACTCCTCAACGGGTTAAAAGTTAAAACAAAGAAGCAGAGAATTAATAATGGTAATTGGATTAGACTAATCATTAGGTGCTGTAAATATGAAAGGAGCTAGCTAGCCAATAATGGAACCCTTTTGATTTTTGACCATGAAAATGCTAGAGTGTCTCCAAATGATTGCTATCACAGGTGTATTCAAGCTTCGAAGAGATGACGACACAAAATAATCACTTGTCTCAAGTTTGAATGCACTCATAATAGCCATCATTTGGAGCACGATGCTTTAGACAAAGAAGAGGATGAAGGAGAGAAAGTGTGACAGAAAAAATGCTGCACAGTAAATCATCAAATCTGAAGACTCCATACCCAAAAAACAAAAAACATGCACAGAATGGCGGCCCATCTGATCAAACCAGTTGTTGGTTGATCAGTACAAATAAAGACTGAAAATAGTACCCTTTAATTTGTGTCCCAAATTATCACTCTCTTTATTCTTATTCGTCCCAAAATAATTTTATCATTTTTTTGTTTCTATTTAAAAGAAATTTTAAGATCACTCTGCAATATTTTCCTTTTCTAAATTTTCTTAAAATATACTCTCTCCGTCCCACAAAAAAGTTCCCATTTTGAATAATATTTAGTCAAATATTTACACGATTTGACTACAAATCGGAGAAAGGTATATTGGATTATAAAATAAATTTAATATTATTGAATTCATCTTAGGATCTAGTTTTGATATCTCAAATTTTTTTAGCATTTTTTTATTTAGATTATATTTAATTTATGGTCAAAGCGTGTAACTGTTTGACCAAAAATACATCAAAATGGGAACTTTTTTGAGGGACGGAGGGAGTATGTTACTACCTCCGTCCTTGAGTATTTGTCCAGTTTTGAATTTTTTCGGTCAACTGTTTTCAATCTTTGACCTATTATTAAATAAAATATATATTGTATATTAATTAGATAAAATAATATTTTGAAAATATTTGATATGATAAATCTAATAAAATTATTTTTTTATTAATATCTAATATCATTTTTATTTAATTTAAAGTCAAAATTTATCATTTTTGACCGAAAAAATAAAAAATGAACAAATACTCAAAAATGGAGGGAGTAAGTCATAATAAAAGATTTATTTGAGATGGAAAGAATTAAAATAAAAAATGTGGAATTTAAGTAGCACACTGTTTTTGAGTAGGTCCTAAGTTGGAAAAAATGAGTACACTTTCGTACGTACGTGTATCCAAAATTATCCACACCCACTCTGTGCCAATTTTGCCTCTTTTCTTTTCACACACACACTTGTTTATAAAAAATGATAGGATAAATAGAGAAAGTTTCAGGTATTTGTGACCTTTTGGAAAAAAAAATGTAATATTTGTGGTAGTTTTTCATCCATATCTTCTTCTTATTTTTCTGGTAGTGTTTAGATACAAAAATTTAATTTTTGATTTTTCCTACTACCAATTTAAAATAAATTAAATTGAGAAATAAATTTAGTCAATCCTTATTGGACATGTTACTTACCTCCAAAACAGAAATTATGTAGACTCTCTGTTCATCTCTAAAAATATGATTATTGCACTGTGACAATGTGATAATGTATATTGACATTTTACAGTGGTTTCGTATTATACGTTGGCATTATTATTAGTATTATTGGGTCTATTTTGGAGAAAAACACATAAAAGCTCTATTTTATTTTTTTTCTTGTAAATTAAATTGTGTCTTTTATTTGAATTTTAGCACGGGGAGGGGTAACTTCATACCCGTTGTTTAAATCATTTTCTAGAGTTGTTCTTATCCTTATCACTCATGCTTAACGACATACGTTTACACCAAACGTCGTCATATTTTAAATTTACATGATTTAGTGTTTTATAGTGTTTATCAAAAATTTAAATTGTATGGTTAGATATTTATGTAGAGCAAAGAATCAAATGTAAGGATAAAGAAGTAAAAATACGAGCCTCGGAGGGTTTTCTATAAATAAAAATTAATCAAAACAGACAAAAAATGTGAAAAAAAGTGGTTAAAGAAAAAATTACTCCGTATATGGGTAAAAGTAGTGTAAAAGAGAAAAATAAGACAAACCACACAGAGTTTTCTAAAAATAGAAAATAGAACTTTTTGTTTGAAACCGACAAAAAATGTGAAAAAAGGATTAAACACCCACCCGGGTACCCCAATCCCTGTCCGACAGGTAGTGAGAGTAAAAATCAAAGTATAATCTTAGTCTAAATACTTAGAAAGGGCGTTTCGAGTCCGTTACACAAAAGGAACTAGCTATCACATTCTTTAGATAAAATTGAACTCTTAGACTACCATTGCCGAAAATGAATCTTGAAGGTTCAAACAGTTCAAACTTAGCACTCCTATCTCAGAATCATCTAAGCTATTCGTATCGACAACTAAAAATTAAATGTGACACTTTTACTAGAGGAAGAAAATATCTTTTCTTATACATTGAGAAAATGAAAACTTATATTTTAATTTTATATAGATATTGTAGAAGAAAATGAAAGTGAGAATTTAATAATTGGTGGAGGGAGGATGGAAGTAGAACAAAGAAGGAGCCAGATCTGGTAGGGTCAGTCATGCAGTGTGACAATAACTGATGTAAATACACTGCAGAAAAGACTGATTTGAGACCAAGAGAAAATATAAAAAAAAATATACTCTTTCCATTGCATGCAACTTTCTTGTCAGCCGCACACAAGTAAAATCACTTCTTCCAAATTTTACTAAAAATCAGTCATCACTTCAACACAATTATAACGTCAAAAACAGTCTGTAAGTCAAAAAATATTTTCTCCTCTTTTAAATATTTTTGAAGCGAGAAAGTGTAAAATTATTTTTTAAATATCCAGGAAAATAAAATATAAAATTCACAAAAAAAACGGAAGGTGTATTAAATATAGGCACGGTTTCAAATCAGATTTTCTATTTTCTTTCTCCGAGTTGAGGAAAATATAAAAATTGGCAATACAAATAAATTTGTGTGGAAAGAAAATTGATACTCCCTTTTCTCCCAAGTTAATCTTCTAGATCTGATTTTCACTGAATTTAAGGAAAAATTTTGTAAATTTAGGAAATGAGAAAGAAACCGATGAAAAGTGAGAAACTTTTTAGCTAGCTCGCCACAAAAAAAAATTTTCTTGAAAAAGATAATAAAATTTATTTGAGACGAAAAAAAAAGAAAGAATATTTCGGGACGAAAGTTATATAAATTATAAAAAATATCAAAAAGATAAAGAAAATGAAAGCAAAAAAGTTGTTTTTGGAATGAAGAGTAAAAGAAATTAGGACGGTGCTCCTCTCTTTTTTAGCGACATCATTGGTCTGTCGCTATTACACTATTTTAGCGACAGTATATTTTATCTGTCGGTAATACTTTTACTGATGGAGTTTTTAGCGACAGCGTAGCGACAGACAAATATCTGTCGGTAAAAGCGAATAGCGACAGATATTCAAGCTTTAGCGACACATTGACCACTGTCAGTATTGCTTCCTTTTTTTGTAGTGGTGGGCGTTTTAACTTCACCGAAATTTAAAAAAAAAATTGTTGGTAGATATATGGAATAATCAAAATTTAAGAAACTTAATTATTTTAGATTGAATGTAAAAAAAAAACCAAAAAAAAAGAAAAGTGTGTACTGTACCTTGCCGCCCTTTCCTGGGATTTCCTTCTTTTCTACCGCTGTTGTCCCATAGATGCGCTTCGTATCTTCCGGTCCACCTGTGCCTGCGGTCCATCAACAACCACATTTTTCTCCTTTTTTAAAAAAAAACATTTTTATTTTTTCTCTGTTTACAATTTACAAACAATTTAATTTTTTTAAAAAGAAAACAATTTTTATTTATTTATCCGAACAGATAAGACAAACAACTAACCTTGTTACGCCGCGGTAAATTGAAGTTCTTTGCCCGGGTGCATCGCCACCCTTCTTTCCTCTCCGAGGCTCGACGGAGAAGACCGGCGGCGGCTGTGACGCCAGAGCATCGCCGCCGAATGACGGAGTGCCGGTGGGGTGGTTGTAACCGTACAACAGCTGGTCAAGGCATTGATCCGCCGTTAACCCCTCGCCGCCGGGGCTCGTAATCCCCGCCTGGTGAGATCCGGCCAAACCGCCCGTTTCCGGTACGGAATTGGCGAAGAAGGGACGAAACCCGGCCGAAACTATGGAGTTCAAGTCCTGGCCGTCGTTGAAGTACACTGGGCCAGGGGCGGCGGCGGCGGAAGAGGAGGCGGAGCCGAATTGGTCATCTCTGCGGTAGTAGTCGAAGTACCCCGCCGCGGCAAAGGCGTCGCTGCCTCTTAAGGAGAAGTCTGGCGGTAGCGGCGTCATTGGTGGCTGGAAAGGACTGGATTCTAGTCCTCCGTAGCTCTGCACGGCGGCGGCGGCGGCTTGGTTGCCGGCTTCGTCCTGGACACCGCCGATATACATCATCTCTTGAACTTTCCCGGTCGCTCAACCTATAGGATTCACGTTACTGTATACCAGTGGTATATATATAGAGGGCTTTCCTAAACAAAAAAAAACTAATGTTATTATTACGTGCAAGGTTCGTGCAATGTTCGAGCATAAAATCATTCTTGAGCCTACTTTTACAAAATTAAACTTTGTGCAGAAATCCATTTCACCTTTACGTGATGAAGGCGTGTTCGAGTTTGAAATCATTCTAAGCCTACAATTGCAAGATTAAACTTTAGATTGACTTGTTCCAATTAGTACGTGCATTGTTTTTATTAGATTTATTTTATAAAGTATTTTCAAAATAATATTCCCTCCGTCCCAAATAGAATGAGACAGTTTGACTTTTTAAGAAATTTAGGGAGGGATATTTTGGTATTAACTTTCCAAAAATACTCTTGATGTGATGGGTAAAAGTAAGATGTGATGAGTAGATTATTAGAAAAAAGGTATGATATGATAGGTAGGGTATGAAAAAGTAAGGGGTAAAGTGGTTTAATAGAAATGTAACGAACTTTACGGGACACATTTTTTTCGAAACGTAACAAACTTTTTGGGACGGAGGGAGTATTTTATTTAATTAATATTTGTCATCACTGGACACTATGGACATTATTAAGTGTTATTTAGAAAATAAAATAATTTAAGTTCTATTTAGAGAAATGACTTAAGTTTTAATGATATTTAGTGCAAATATTTCTACAATTATATACGGAGTATTAGATAATCAATTAAATAGAAATAAAATTTCATTGGATTAAAAAAAGTGAAATACTAATGTGGCAAAGTCTGAAAGTGTTTGAAGATTGAAGTAGTTTTTCAAAAATTTAGAGAAGAATCTGAAACACTATTAAAATGCGCTTACTATAGCGTTCGAAAGAGTCTCAAAACTTCTTGAGGAGATGCGCTTACTATTCGTTTACTCGCAAGTATACTATATTTTTCTCGTTCCCTTTAAAGTTTGAAGATAGACAAGTCGTATTAGACAAAAAATAAAGAGTAAGTTTTATAATTGGTCCATTATAATAAGAGTTTTTCATATTTAGTTTTCTATTACTCCGTATTAAATACTGCGTCTGTGGTGCTTCTTTTATAAGTACCTTTCCACAAATAGTCTTTTTTATTTTCTGCCAAGTTGTTGTTATTTGAGGTCTAAAAGTATAATCACAATGATCATATATATATCGTTCGTGTCATACACAATTCCATAGACCGTTCCTGATGCGCCGTTTACGAATCAGAGTCGATGTCTTCTACAATCATACTTTAGAGATGTAGTTTTTTGTGGGAATTGCAGTCCATAGTTATAATCATTATTGATGTGTTGTCATCTAGCCAACATCAGAATACATCACTAGACATAGTGTTGATGTCAAATTATATTTTTAGTACTCAAATTAACACAAATATGATAGAAGGTAAGAAAAACTATACTCCCTCCGTCTCTAAATAGATTACAATTTTTTTCTCTCCTCCCGATAACTTTTGTTGGTTTACGCGATTTCATTAAGTATTTGATAATATAAAATATTCTTGTCACCTTTTATTTTGTAGAACTTTTGACGTAGTTTTTTAATATGTAATTTTTACTACCTCCGTCTCAGAGTATTTGTCCACTTTCATTTTTACACACCATCCAATACACTTCTTTAATCCATTTTATCTTGTAATTTGTATATTAAAAAATTATATATTAATAATCTATATGTTAAGACACATCAAACAAGATCACACATGACTATATTTATGCTTATACATTGAAAGAATTTGATGAGTCAAAGTCCTTAGATGAACAGTTCCAAAAGTAAAAAATGGACAAATACTCCAGAACGGACGGAGTATATATATCTTATTGATATACTAATTTGTAAATAGAATGATTTCAAAAAGTAGAAAATTTTACTTCGTAATCCGCAATTTAGGGATAGAGAGAATATATAAAAAGTACTCTTAAATGAAAGATCATGATTGTAATATTTGATAATAAATAGTTAAATATCGAATATCTGTTTTATATTAGATCAATAATAGAATTTACTAAAAAAATTGAATTAGGGCGCAATTCTCTAGTATCCAAAGCACGAACTACTCGTGCATACCAATACTATATGTTGTGACAAGCAGGAAGGACCAAGTAGTCATTATTTAAGTAAATATCTAGCATTATTGGACATTATTCTTCCATTAGGTCATTATTAAGTTCTATTTAGGGAATAAAAAAGTTTAAGTCCTATATAAGGAAAATCATTATGTTTTAGTACTATTTAGTGCAAATTTCACATTAATGTATCGTGTGATTGACCAAATAAACCCAACACTCTCAATTCTCTTCCCCATCGTGCACCACCCAGGGTAATCAAGCAAGCATGCATGTAACCGCAAGCCCTCAATGATATCACTTGTAGGATGCTTTTTAAAAAATTAAGAGTACCTTTTTAAAACAGTTTAATATGAACTAATTATTGAGATAATATTAGTTAATTAAAAATAATGCTTAATTTAGTTCCTACGACTAACAGTCATTAAAACATTGTAGAAACGACATTAGATTTTATACTACTTTTTCAAAGTTATCCTTTCTTATTGGATGTTTTCTCATATTGATTCATTTTGAGGTAAAATTTTATTAAATATGAAAAATCAAAGCAGAAATCTTGCCTTTTAATTGGTTTGCGATGTTTGAGCAAATTCGAAAGACCATTTTTTATGAGTTTTATTTCAAATCTAGACTTATTTGAAAAGACATCCAATTAGAGATCAGATGACCTTTATGTGAAGTTAGTATCAATTTTGATGCCGTTAATTGGAGGGACTAAGCCAAACATTATTCTAAATTAACGGGTATCATTTAGATAATTAGTTTATCTTGTGAACTAATTTGAAAAAATATGTAGTTATTGAGTACCATTTTGAAAATTTACTCTAAAATTAAACATCTTAGGAGGCTACATATATATTACCCCTCCTTTGTCCCAATGTATTTGCTCAATTAATTCTTTTAAAAATTAAACACAAAATTATTTTACTATACTATAGTACTAGTTTTCTACCCCGTGCTTCAATTCGCACGGGCTTGTAATGTATTGAGGTGTTTATTAATTAACATTATCAACTTTTTTGGTAAAAGTATGTAACACTTTGATTACAAATTAAATACAGTTTTAAGTAATTAAATATCATAAAAATTTAGTGTATGAAAACAATATTCTAAATGGCACAATTTTTATAAATTTACATTATAATTAAATATAGAGCAACTTGATCAAAAATATTAAATTGTAATTAAATGATATACTAATAAACATTGATTTAACTAATGAAAAAATAAAATAAAAATGCTAAAAAAATTTAGGTTATGATAAATCATTAAAAAATACATATGCGGTATATGGCCTACATGTGTTATACTTCAACAAAAACAAATTAATTTAATTTGTTAAAATGATATATAGCAAATTAAAAAAATTTACAGATAAAACATTTTCGATCAAAATACAGTATATAGTTAGTAAATATATAGTTAATAAAATATAATTATTTGGTAAAAATAACAATAATTAGGTGCACCAAAATGGAACGCGCCGAGGTGTAATGCACAGTGACTTAAAATTTTTAAACAAACGTAATGGTCATCAAATAAAATAATAATAAAAATTATTTTAATTAATAAAAATTAAAATAAAAATGTCAAATAAGTAAAAATAGTTGAGTAATGCTGTGGATGTGCTATATGGAGAAATTAATTAGCCGAAATATTTGTCCTATAACAAAAATAAGCCAAAATTTTTTGCCTAAATTACATCGACCAGCTCGGTTAGGTTTTTAGTAAACCGAGGAAAGAAACGGATTCTTGAAAATTTAATCGAGTAAATATGAAAACTAAAACTACTGATCCACCGTAATGACCATATATCATCTCTTTCTTGTTTCTGCATTGGGGTAAATGACAACATAGATTTTACGTGGTATTATGGTAATGAACTAATAGTCAAAGAACAGAGGGATCCAAGGCCTGCATGCAATGCCACGTTACCCTTGCTTGGTTCACTTTTTTTTATTGGATTAAGCTATTTAATTTGTATTTTCTACCCCAAGATTTATACTTCAATTTGTACACTGCAAGAGTGAATCTACACTAGTGAATCTACACTTTGTATCGGTATAATGTTAGAGTGATAGTTCACACAGACACAAAATGTTAATGCAATTTTTTTTAACGCACTGACATTTTGTATCCGTGTGAACCATCAAAATGTTAGTATATATATGCCTTGATGTAATTTTGGGGTACACTTTTTAGTGTAAGTGTAGTATGGTTGTTTTTTTATTACTTACTACATCTGTCCCTGATTATTTGTCCAGTTTTTACTTTCTCGGTTAACTGTTTTTAACTTTTGACTTATAATAAAATAAAATATATATTTGTTAAAAATTTCGGCGGGCCGAGAATAATGGATTTCCGATGTGGGAACTCCAACACTTCCCCGCAAGTGGTAACTAGCCTGGTCTAGTTAGCACTTGGACAAATGGGTCTAGCATCTCAATCTCTTATAGCTAGCCCACACAACGGACGGTGGCATCTCAATCTCTTTTTAGCCAACTCAGCCCAAATTACAGATGGGTAGCTCATTTTTGCTAAACCCACATCTAAACAACCAGTAACAATCAAACCCGGACCGGACCTGCTCTGATACCATGTTAAAAATTTCGGCGGGCCGAGAACAATGGATTTCCGATGTGGGAACTCCAACAATACTAGCATTTTGACCCGTGCCATGCACGGGGTTGAACAAATTCTTTTTTGATTCTAAAATTTTGTTCAATACAATATTTTTTTGAAATAAAGATAATATATTTCTCACAAATTTTTAATAACACAGAAAAAGACAAAGTATTTAACATATTTTCTTTTAATACTAAATTTTCTAAAAAAATCTCAGGGTGTAAAATATTTTTGGTATAATTGTAAGGGTTTTCATTTTCATCTAGAAAAAATATTTTTAATGGTTTCTTTGTATTCACTTATGAAATAGAAACATAAAACTCACCATGAGTGAACACTGACTTAGTTAAAATAATCTAATAAATGACAATATTTGATCTTTATTTTTGTTCAATGTCATTGCAAAACTTAAAACCATTCGGAATTGTCTTTTTTGGAACTTCTGGGTAGTCCTAGACCGGATGGTGCCAAATTCATATGGGATATATAAACCTTTTCCCCGACTTGATTTCACAAAACCAACAATAACACTGATAACATTCTTCCCCCCACCCCATCGGCTTTAAAACTATTTTATGGTTTAGGATCCCCAAACATTTGGTTTTATTTTCATAAGTTATTCTTGAGGAGTTAACTTATGTCTAGAATCAAGAATTCGGGTAGAATATCAACGTCACTTGTTCCATCAATCATTTTTCCAAGCTTTCCATCTCCAAGTTTGAGTATTCCATCAGAAAAAACTCGTGTGTCCCTATCCGTGTAAGAGGGAATTGATGGATGCAATCTTACTCTTCGTTAACGTATAAACTTTACAATAGGACCACAATTTTGATGAATTGATGGTAGCACCTACGGGTCAATTATGTTTTGTCTATTATGCACGCAAAAGCTTGATGAATTTACCGTAAAATTGTTATCTGCTGAAAGCACTGTATAGATTATTTTTTTAGAAAAAATGTCATAGAAATATAAAATGTTTAATTTGAAATACAAATACCATGTGTCACATCACATAACATATACTATATTACTTCTTAAATGGGTTTGATTATGCGTGGCTATAGTCAATGACGATCCATCTCTTTATGTATATGTAATATCTAAAATAAATTTATACTAATATTTATCTCATGAAAAAGTACAAAGGTTTTTTGTACTTTTTTTGGCATGCGTTATAAATATTTTTTTATTTTTTTATACATAACTTTTTAGAATAAAAGCTCTGGGCCACAATGCCTTTCTTATATCTATTAGAATAAAAGCTTTGGTCCATATTGCCTTTCTTATGTATATTTTAGTCCACTATAAAATTTTTATATTTTAACCATCATTAAAATACCATTGTCATCATCATTATTATTACTATTATTCAACACCGGACAAAATTTTAATCGGAGTTCTTTATAAATGATAGTTTTTCAAAAATAGAAGCTTTGGGTTACTTATGAAGCATATGTACTAAACATTATATAAATCTTTATTTTGAAAAAAGTAAAAATGGAAACTGGTGGGTAATTTTACAAATTTACAAAAAAATAAATTTATCTTGTCGGATATTTTCAATATTTATTAAAATATTTGTAACTGCATATGTCCTTTTCCTTATTCCTTTAAATATTTTCCATGTTAGTGAAAATATTTATATGAAACTCCACATGGAATTTCCCATTATTTTATAATTTATAAAAAATATGTATGAATAATTTAATGAGTTACAAAAAATCATACAAATATATTGATTTTTGCAAAAGTTTTCCTCATTTAAAATTTAATATATAATTTTATTTCTAAAATAATAAAGTAATTATGTATATTAAGAGCTTTAATAAGGAAACTTCCATTCAATGCTCTTGGTGACATGGACGATGAGGTGTTAAAAAAATTGTCTAGTCAGCGTGCCAAATGTCGTAATTCTGGAAGCTCAATTCTCCTTTTTAATATATAAAGGATTGTATATTAATTAAATAAAAAAAATATTGGCGAAGAAGGTACGAAACCCCTAACCGGGGCTCGTCATCACCGCCTGGTGAGATCCGGCGAAACCACCCATTTCCGGTACGGAATTGGCGTCACCCGGCCGCAACTATGGAGTTCAAGTCCTGGCCGTCGTTGAAGTACACTGGGCCAGGGGCGGCGGCGGCGGAAGTGGAGGCGGAGCCGAATCGGTCGTAGGGGTGATGGCTCGTCGCCGCCGCGGCAAAGGCGTCGCTTCCTCTTAAGGAGAAGTCTGGCGGCCGCGGCGTCATTGGTGGCTGGGAAGGACTAGACTCTAGTCCTCCGTAGCTCTGCACGGCAGCGGCGGCGGCGACTTGGTTGCCGGCTTCGTCCTGGACACCGGCGAAATACATCACCATCTATCTCTTGAACTTTCTCGGTCGCTCAACCTATAGGATTCACGTTACTGTATACCAGTGGTATATATATATAGAGGGCTCGCTTTCCTAAACAAAAAAACTAATGTTATTATTACGTGCAAGGTTCGTGCAATGTTCGAGCATTACTATTACAAAATTAAACTTTGTGCAAGGTTCGTGCAGAAATTACGTGATGAAGGCGCGTTCGAGTTTAAAATCATTCTAAGCCTACAATTGCAAAATGGTTGAGAAATTTATTTAAATAGGACTAATACATAATAACTTTCTCAATATATGATCGTATGTTTTTATTTCTAAAGTAGAACTTTTGCTCATTATCAATTAATCATTATTTAGCTAAATATCTATCATTAGTGGACATTATTCCTCTCAAGAGGCATTATTAAGTCCTATTCAGTCCAGTCCAGTGAATTGGTCTGAGACTGGTCTAGTCTTTCACCAAATTCAAGCACCAAACAAGACTGCCGGTCCGGCTTGGACCGGTCTCAAAGGTCACTACAATCTCATCTTTTCTAGTCTAAATCTTAATATATATTTTCCTCTACTTTTACGCTTAGATCATAACCTTTTTCTCAACTCGATCATCTCTAACTTTAAGAGGAGAAAAAGACTAAAGTAATAGTAAAATATTGAAAATATACCAAAATAGGACTTTCATATTTTTATTCCCGAAGTAATAGTTAAAATGTATTTGCATTACCAAACGTGGTCATGTACATTACCAAAAAGTATAGTTGTGCACATGTAAAGTGTCACATTACCTCCACATTATCACAGTGCGAACTTCTATTTCGTGAATAAAAACATAAAAGTTCTATTTTAGTATTTTTTCTATGTTTTAGTCTTATTTAGGGTGATTTGTATTTTAAGAGTAAGGCAGATTCTTCCGTGGACCTGATGTCCATGCTAACTTTATAGAGCTTAGGGCCCGTTTGGTACATGGAATTCAAACCATGGAATTGGAATTGAGGGCTTCAATTCCAATTCCAGTGTTTGGTAGCACAAAAATTATGTGAATTTAGAATTGATAGTGTAAAAAATGAATTGGAATTGGTAGAATTCAATTCTATGGAATTGAATCCCATGGAATTTCAATTCCAATTCAATTCCAATTCCGTCAATTCCACATACCAAACGGACCCTTAGTGAAATTGTAGCAATAAAGAAATCGACCTTTTGTAGAGAAAAGAAAATATTCACACACAAGTAGTTTATAAAAATGTGAGAAAGTCTACATTTTAAATGTAAACCTTGAGATCATGTAAACACCAATTTTCAAGTAAACTGAACAGACGTTATAAAATGGGAGAGATGGAGTAATAGTCAAAGAATAGATGGATCCAAGGCCAGCATGCAATGCCACGTACGTTACCCTAGGTTCACCGTTTTTTTATTTGATTAAAGTATTTGTAGTTTTGTACCCATTGTACTTTAACTTGTACACCGCAGGTATGCACATACATTTTGTTTTGGTGTAATACTGTGGTAATAGTTCTCACAAACACAAAATGTCAATGCAATTTTTTGTTAATGCACCGATATTTTTGTGTCAGTGTGAACCATCAAAATATTAGTATATACCTTTGGTGTAACTTTGAGGTACAATTTTTAATGTAAGTGTAGCATAGTGGTAGGAACAATTTCCATTAATGGTGGACATTGAGTTTGAACAATGTCCTTTCTCAACGTAGTACTTAAACTTTTTTATTTTTTAAATGTTACTTGAATAATGTCTAGTGGTAGGAACAATTTCAATTAATGGTGGACATTGAGTTTGAACAATGTCCAATAGTGGAGATTAACTTGAACAATGACCAGTGGACATTGAACAGTGATACTATATTGGGAAATAAAAATATATGGTACAACATTGAGAAAATCACTATGTTTTAGTATTATATATTTAGGTAATTCCCCTTTATTAAAATTATATTAGAACCCATTAAATCAAATCCAATTAGAAGATCAGAGATCATTTTAAATTACATCTAACCGAATCAGATCTATTTATATTAGATCAATTTCGAAAAATGTTGAAGAACAATTTTTTATAAACCTTAAACGAGCTCCAAATGAACTCGTGTTTAGCTCTAACTTCTTCTAGTATTTTAGGCGGTAGTGTATAAAGAGTAATATGACTTAACATTTATGTGGCTATATATGCTAAAAATATGAAGAAAGTTGCTATAATATTGAGAAGGAAGAATGAAGAATAGTGAATAACTTTGGGTAGTATTTTTTTGAAGAAATCAAGAAAACAACCAATAATGGTTATCTCATCTTGATCATAATATCATTGAGTGATTTGAGAAGAATTTTACATCACAAAATCAAAATCATAATACCAAAAATAAGAGAAGTGTAAGACTCGTTGAATAATATCCACTAAAAATATTTTAAGAATATTTGATGATGTTAGAATTATTGTGGATAATTTAATGTGTTTACATAACTCAGTGAGACTCCAAATCAGTTTTAAAATACTCCGTATATTTCAAAATTTCAAATTCAATTGATATTTGGGGCTTTTGGCTTGATTTATACTCCGTACTTCGTAGTATAGTTTACAGGTTGGCTTTATTATCTACTTTAGCCCAAACTTTTATCAAATTTGAACTATTATTTCTAAAACTTTGTTATAAAAATAAAAATCTATATCTTGGATTTCAAATATGTTTTATTAGTTTTAAATTATCAAATTAATATATTTAAATTCAAATTCCTATTAATTTCTTTCTTATTATTATCATCATTATTTTTAAATTAAATCTTTCTAGGCCCTATTTTAAGATGTTATAATCCCTCTCCCATAACGAAATTTTATCTTCAAAATTTACCTACCATAAGATCAAACAAATGTAGGTATTGTTGTTGCATTGGTTGTTCAGTCTCCCATGTTTTTTCTGTGGTATTATTCCTCCATGGAACTACCTTCTTGCTTTGAAGTTGATGAGTTTCACTGTCAAAGATTTGAACAGGTTCTTCTTTATAAGTTAAGTTTTATTCAAAGGTCAGTGTTCCTGAGTGTTCCTGGTTGTAGTAGAAGTGTGGGATCTTCTTGAAACCTTCTCAACATAATTTGTTTTGTAATGCGAGACGATAAGCCGCCAGTCTAATACGTCCATTGACGTTGTATGGACCAATGTATCTTGGACTTTGATGAGAAATAATACGTGGTTCAGCCCACATTTCCCAATTATTTACAAAGATTAACCAAACTGGGTTTGTTTAGTAAAATGAAGGAATAAGAGAATATCTCTCCGAAGATGCTCTCCCTCCTTCCTATAACAAGGGGTTACCTTCAATGTTGGGGAAGCCAATTTTTAATCACTCCTTCCCTCCAACTTCCTTTCTCTCTCTAGAATAGTATGTATTTTATTTTTTCAAAGAAGCTTCAAGCTTTCATTAATGACGTCCGAGCTCAATTCATGTACCGTGTACAACCCTCGATATCAATTAAAATCTCTCTTTGGCAAGGTACCACCAAAAAAGGCCCATTGTTTTCTCCTGATTGGGTTTCCATGTCGAAATCCTCATATTTATATTTTGGTATATTTTGTTAGACTAGTTTATCGTTTTTGGCCGGCTAAGAACGATATTCTGGTCGACATAATTTACACCATCAGACTTTATTTTCCTTTCTTCCCAAATCGTAAGACATGCTTCCAGGGTGATACTTTGAGATCAACTTTTTCACTGATTTTGTATTCCATGTCCTTCCATTCGAGATCAGCATAGGATCTTTGACGATTAGATGCGACTTTGAGTTTGTCTCAAATGGTTTTTACCTTGTCTTTAATGTCTCGAACTATTTTAGATCCAATTATTTTGTGCTCGCTTAACTCTGTCCAACATACATGAGTTCTACACCTTCGTCCATAGAGTACTTCGTACAGTTCCATTTGAGTTCTCGATTGATAACTGTTATTTTATGAGAACTCCATAAGAGGTAAATACTTTTCCCAGTTTCCTCCAAAGTCAATGACTCACGCTTTCTTCATGTCTTCAAGAATTTGTATTACTCGTTTTGATTGTTCATCTGTTTGAGGATTGATAGTTATACTGAAGTGTAGTTTAGTTTCCAAATTGAAAAACTTGCCAAAATTGTGATGTGAACCTTGGGTATCTGTCGGAAATGATAGAGGGATACTCAATGAAGTCGTACAATTTCTTAGATGTAGAGTTCGACCAGTCTTTGTAATGAAAAATCACTTCAAATAGGTAAAAAATGAGACGGTTTTGTGAGTTCATCCATAATTTTCCAAACTGAATCATTCTTCTTTAGAGTTTGATGTAGTCTGATAACAAAGTCCATCATTATACTATCTCATTTCAATTCAAGAATAGTGATAGGTTGTAGTAATCCTGATGGGACTTGATGTTTTGCCTAAACTTGTTGACAAGTTAAACATCTCGTCGTATACTTTGGGATGTCACGCTTCATGCCTTGCCACCAGTACTGCTGTTTCAGGTCTTGGTACAATGGTGCACTAGTAGGATGCATAGTGTAAGTAGTACTGTGAGCTTCTTGCATAATTTTTGTCTAAATATCACCTTCGGGTACAACTAATCTTGACTGATAGTATAATCCCCTGTTCGATTGAATGGAGAATTCTTGTTTCTTGCCTTTAGAAACAAGTTCAACTATCTCTCTGTAAAATTGATCTTGAGTCTACCTTGTAAGAATTTTAGTTTCTAATGTTGATTAAACATGAAGTTTAGCCAAAGTCTTTCTGCTTAAAGTATCAACCACTGTTGGGATTTTAAGCGCGTAAGATACCGAAAAATATTGAGAACACCAAAAAAATGGGGGAACAAACACAAGAAGAATATATGAGAGAAAAAAATTATATTTCCACTATTTCAGGACAATATACAAAAAAACTCTCCCCTGTTTACAAGGCTAAATTCCAAACACTTATAAATAGATCTTTCCACATCCTATGCCCGGATGCATTTTTCCGAGTAACTAAAACCAGTTACTCCCTACACTCAACCATACTCACCAAGACCCCTTGAATTTTCCCGGTGGTATTCTTGTGTAGAACCCTCTTCCTCTTCTCTCTCTACCTTGGTGTGTAAACCACACACACATAGCCTTGTTCTTCCACAACTATTAAATAGCCAGGAACTCTTTGTGAACAAAGGAAAAAAAACAAGAACAATAATTCAAGCCAATAGTGGATACCATGTACGTGCCAAATCCCATGTCCCTATGCACCACTAAACATCCCATCATGTTTAATAAGTTCATTGGAGGAGACCCTTATTTTTTTTCTTTCTTTTCAATTATTTAATCAATTCCTAACAACCACAACATTAGCCTTGTCGAGGTGATACTCGATGGGAATCATAGTCTTTGATTAATTCCAACCATCTTTGTTGTCTCAAATTGAGTTCTTTCTGTGTGAGAAGATATTTCAGGCTTTTATGATCAATATAGATGTATGTCTTTTTGCCATATAGAAAGTTCTTCATGGAAGAGAGGCTTGTCATCTCTCTTCAAAACTCTAACATAATGATTCAAGAAATGTATAAATGGAGCCAGGACACATAAGATAGCGTAAGAAAAAAGAGATGCAATTGGATGTGTCCGAAGTTATGAATAAGATGAAAAAAGTTGGTCATAGCTAACTTTTAAAAGAATTTGATTGAATATGGAAGCAATGGGTCATTTTGTGCATTTCTCTATTACAGATGCTTGTAAAAATACAATATAATACATTTTCTTGATGATTACAATGGAAGAACTATTATCTATCCTATAAAGTTTTGACAGCACATGAAAACTCATAAACCCACACATTTCGCCCAACGAAAACACCTAGCAACTTCACTTGGGAGCGAATAGTCTGAAAAGGAAGATGGGTCTGAGGTTATGTCTTCTGTAGTTGACCATATGTACACACCTCGCTGTTGTCTGGTTCCGGGGACAGTGTTGTCTAGGATGAAAGCAACCAACAGTGTAACCACCATGTTCAAGGACATCAGTGCATTTAGCGCGAAATCAATCTGCCGTCAGTTTCCCAACAAAAAAAATAAGATGTTACGAATTAGGATAGTGTGTGATTTGGGTCGATTCCAAATCCACGATTCTTTGAATGAAGTACCAAACATAGACATTTGACACAAATGCAAGATTTCAAATGACATCTTATTTTTCCACGCATAATGACAGTGTATTTGATGGATGTGCAATGGGGAAATATTAGAATCATCTTTTTACAACTTTATGTTTAGGTAGGTAAGATATGAAATATAACCCACAAATCAAGAAAAAAAGTGAAGAAGAAAAAAGTGACTTACTTGTGTACTCCCAGAATGGATTGGTCCACTTGAAGCAGCAGCATAGGGAAGAAGATAAGGGGGCAAAATTAAGCTGGAGACAGGCTGATACTGCTGAACATAAGCTGGGATGGAGAAACCAAGGAGCAATGAAACTCCAACAATCATAACGTTTCGGGAACTTGTTGTTTGGGTATATTGTAAAGTTGATAAACCCAAAGCCAAAACTAGTGCCCATATGAAGCACAACACAGCAGCAGCCAATGCTTGTGGTATAGAAGCAAGGATGGCACACGCTTTACCTATCACAAACGGCAAAGGAAATTGCAGATTACATAAAAGAACCTAAATCCCCTTTTCATATCCAAGATATTTTCAAGAAACAATACTTTTTTAGAAGAAGACAAGTAGTTGATGAATCTTTTTTAGTTGATAAATCCACTTTTCATTTTTTAATGCACATGGTTCGAACGTGTGTACCTAGAAAGGAGAAAGCAATCAAGAAAATTGAACCAAGTTCTAAGGCCCTCCGATTTGCTACCATGGTGGCATCAATTGTGTGCACATTCTCTATCAATGTTGTTGCTCCAGTGCCTGTTCCCCAAAGCCCAGCCAGTACACTGCAAAACCCTTCTAAACCAATTCCTCTGCTCACAATGCCGGGAGTTGGAGGTTTCAGGTTGATTCTCATGGATGCAGAATGATAAGTACCAACCTGTTAAGTTTCACCCTGCTTCAGTTTCAAACNAGTTGTCATTGCATTAGAAACATCAGTCCGACAATGTCTCATTGTATACACATGCTTTCTACATGCATCGATAAGGATATTCGAACTTGGTATGTCAGAGCTGCAGTCCTTATAATTATATGCTCCCCCAGCTGTCAAGAAGAACGCAAATGCCCATGTAATCACAACACTTAATGGAACCTGGAAAAGGTTTTATTGTGATAAAGATGGAAAAGCTTATTTAGAGTGATCTCTCATCTAGCTTATAGTTAATAAAGGGAGATATTAAAAGAGCGCAAGATTCCTACCGCATAGATCCGAAACACTCTATGCCCAAAAATAGATATTCCTCGAAGGTACTGCAAGAGAATGAAAAGTCAATGACAAAAGAACCAGTAGGAAATAGGAACAAATTACAATGTCTATACTATATAGACCATTTAAAGTTGCTCACCAGCGTAAAGGCAAGAACAAGTAGTATCAGGGGAGAGCTTATTTCTATACAGCTACCAGCTTGTGGAAAGCCATAGCTGAAAAAAGCTAAGCCCACTGCTGCAATTGTAGGAGCAACCACGATGGGATTTATCAACCTGCAAGATGATGTTCTTCAAATGTGTGAAATTTCATTCCTAAAAAGAATGGAATGTTAAGAAATATATCGACGTTTAAGCTATTCTTGTGGCAAAAACTTGTTCACGCAACGAAAAAAAAGTCAATAAGATTTTCTTTTATTACTGTTGCCCATTGCAAGTATATATTCTCCGCTACAGAATGACCAAAGGTAACACATTTAGACTTGCCTTACAAAAAGAGACATCAAACCAGTGAAGCCTAAGATGCTCTGGAATACTGAACCCACTATAATAGCTCCTTGTAACTCCCTCATTATGTGCCTAAATTTCTGAAACAAGCAAGCAAAGACCTTTGGGTTAGTGGGAAGTTAATGAATTTCAAAGGAAAAAGTGAGTGAAGATGAAAGGCAATTGAATAAGAAGGATCACTTTCATGCATTATAAATATAGAATATTTTCAATATCCTTGTCTGGAACTTCATTTCACAAAATTATTCAATGACTCTCATTTTGGCCAATAAAAGGTAAATTTTCTGTATGTAATTATTCAAAAAGCACAATGTAATATGTCAGCACCTAAATCAATAAACATACATTTTCAGAAAGGTTTCGGTACTCCTCAGAATTCATGATCACCAATGCAGGTGCCAGATACACAAATGAACTTCCTTGAACCAATGGCAGGCGAGTACCTAAATACGAGTGCAATACTGTAGCAAGGCCAGAAACTAACAACGTTGTGGAAATCACAGTAGCAGTGTCTTTCTGTGGCATTGTAAAATGGAAAGAAATGATATTATCAAGAACTAAAACTTTTTTAAAACAGAGAAATGCACAAGGCTGGACCAAAAGATCCTTACGTCAGTTCCACCCATTGCAGGCACAATGATCAAAGGGATGAAAATAAGTGATCCGACCAATGACAAGAAGTGCTGCAAACCATAGTAGATAAGTGGTGCTGCAGTAAAGAGACCATGAAAAGGTCAATGCTACAATATGATTTCTCTAGTGATGCACTAACTTGACATAAGTTAACTTCTGATAAATCTTCCACAATACAATTCGTAGAGAGAATGGAGGAACACATAAATTGTGATTTGTGAAGTAACTCTTGCAGAACCATTAATCTATAATAAGACGCTTCCCTTTGGCTTTTTTAGCCTTTAAGGCTTAATCCCACGAAAGAACTTCGAATATAACCATCCAACACATTTGAGTACAAGATATGGGTTAATTGAAAGAACTATGCTTATGCAATCAAACAGATATGACAAAGTGACATTATGCATACAATTTTGAATTCTCCTCCGCAGTGCACATCTCATAGGATATTACTCTTCTAATGAAATACAAAACCAAAGGCAGAAGATGAATAAAAACAGGCAAAGTATGAAACATAGAATAACAACAATAAGCAAAAAAAATGGAGTACAATAAAGAGAGAGGTCTACACTAACCGTAACCCGGATTGTCTCTTAGTCCACACTTAATTCTCGGAGACTGTTGCGGTATGTCATAAGCCGTATGATCCTCCCAGTCAGGGAACACTCTAATCCCCATTTCATGATCCACATTCTTATCATCTTTCTTCGGACCCAAACTTGAAGCTGTAGGCTGCACTTCACTGGAGTTACGAATTGGGGTCATCCCATTCAGACCATCTTTGCTCTCTTCATCTTCAACCCTCGATTCCTCCACTAGCTCAACCCTATTCCCTTCACTCTCACCCCCCAGAGTCTCATTTCTTTGCTCGTTAACGTTTACCCTACCGGCAGGAAGAATCTCAACCCCTCTACTCCTCTTAGTCCTCCCCAAAATGGGGTCAAGCTCGATCTTTGGAGACGCAAAATCAAGCTTGTCAAACCCCCTCTCGAGTCCGACCCGTGCATTAATACTGGAGCCCAAATCCCTCCCGCTCAGACTTGCCGGGTCGGTCTCCCCGGAAATATGGGACACGAATCCGGTTTTCTTGGCCCATGATTTCAACTCTCTTGGATCGTAGCCTTTTCTTGGCACGAATGGCTCGATTTTGGGCACCCCGGCAGTGCTGCTGCCCGGTTTCTGACCCTTTTGCGCATCAAGCTTATCTCCCATCCCGACTTTTCCGGCAATGGGGATAGGTGTTCACCAAGAAATCCCACACAGATTCAGAGCAGAGCAGACACAGTTTGATGTAGAGTAGAAGACGGCAAGGTGGGTGTTACTCACTTCCCCACAGCTTGTTAAATAGAGCTCATACTCTATTAATAGCTCTTGCCCAAACTCTATTAATAGAATAAACAATTACGGGGTAAATTAAAAATTTATTTCATTTGAAAATATTATGGATGAATTTCAATCCAACGACCCTGAAAATACGAACAACAATAATGAGAATATAAGAACTCTCCTAATATATTACTCTTTTTGTTGTCTATTTTTCCTCGATTTAGTTTGGATTTGTACCTGAGATCTTTTCTCTAGTCTCTATTTATAGATTACATGATGTAATATATTTTCTCGTCCACAAAAAAGACTTCCATTTTGACTTGTCACAAAATTTTAAAAAATGAAAATGTTGGTTGAAAGTGATGCAGAAAAGAAAAAAATATAAAAGATCTAAAATTTTTCATAAAAGAGAAGAAGATATCTTTTTTAAAACGTTCTAAAAAGAAAATAAGGAGTCTTTTTTGGGGACGCAAAAATGCATGACAATTTACTCTCCTAGTCTTGCACATTGATTGAAGTGACTAGCGTTCATCATGAGGATTCATGACTGAATACTCAGACTTTTTCCCAAATAGTGACCCAACTATGTCATTGACCCTTTGAATAAGCTCATCCTTAAGGTGTCATTGTACTAGTTAGGCTATGGGGTGAGCCTTCATCTTTTCCACTTTTTCCCTTGGCTAACTCGAAGCCACGTCACCTTCAGTTTTCTCTTCGTCCTCTCTCCCCTTTCCTGGGGACCATGTTCCCTTTACTCCTACAATATTTAATATTATTTTTTAATATTTATTTTAATTTAAATAATTAAACTTAAAATAGAAAAATAATAAAAATTCCATTCAAAACTATTATTTTACTAAAATTAAAATAATTAAATATTTCATTAATAATTTAAAGTGATGCATTAAAAGTGATACATTAAAATTAAATTAAAAGTAAAACTAAAATTGATACATTATATAACTAAGAACCAATAAAAATATTGGTACGCAATTGAAAAAATTCATAAAAACCTAAACATAATTCATATATAAAAAATAAAAAAATAAAAACCTAATTCTCAGATGCAATTGGTGGAGCTGCATTAATTATAAGAGGCGGGGGGAGGGGGGCGTGTTCGGGTCGGGGCGAGTGGAAGGTTTTTCGGGAGAGTTAGGGGGTAGGAATCGTCAATTTTACGAACGGGGCACTGAAGCACCTTCGGGTCATCTCATGACATTGATTTCTAATGTCATGGGAACAAAGGTGTAATTATAATAGCTTCTTATTATCCTGCAATAAAAAAGTTACACTACTTTAATTAATCTTTGTAACTAATTTGTAAAAGATTATTACACTAAATTAATAATAATAGCTTCGTATTTGTTGTTCTTAGGTCGATGACTTTTGCCTTTTTATATGAATAGCATTTGATTTTTAATTAATTACTCCGTATTAGAGTAACTCAAGAAATCAACTCTGTAGTGAGAGAAAGAGGGAGTGACGTGAGAAAGAGACCAAGTCTTTCACCAACCACTACTCACCTATTCTAATTTTAGACGTTTCTTTGCTAACTTTTACGTAGTATGAAAAATGTGTTGCTAGTTGGTCTATAAAAGTCTAAACCCTCTTCCCGTCACGACTCACGACCATTTTGGTGTTGCCAACTTTTTTTTTAATTAATTTATTTAAAATTTAAAATAAATTGTCTCTTTTGTCTCAAAATATTTGTCTACTTTTTATTTTTTAGTTAAAATTGACAAATTCTAATCTCAAATTAAATAAAAGTGATACTTAGTATTAGTTTTGATACAAAATTAGTCTTATTACATTTATTTAATAAAATAGGCTAAAATCCACCATTGGTCCTTCAACTTTATCAGTTGTGCACGATTAGTCCTTCAAGATAAAGTCCTTTTGACAGTAAATATTAAAGGTTAAACGAAATACTAGTTTCATATAATACGAGTAAATTCCACTAGGTACGACAAATCCGTATTATATGGAGCTAGTATTGCATTTAGCTTTTAACATTTACTGTCAAAAGGACCTCATCTGGAGGGCTGGCGTGTACTTGAAGGACTACTTATGCACTTTTAAAACTTGAAGGACCAATCGTGCATAACTCAAAAGTTGAAGGAGTATTTATGGACATTTAAAACTTGAAGGACCAATCGTGCACAATTGATAAAGTTGAAGGACCAATGGTAGAGTTTTAATATTTTCAAAATATTATTTTATCTAATTAATACTATATGATATATATTTTATTAATAATATGTCAAAGATTATAAATGGTTGGTTTTAAAAAGTCAAAAATGGACAAACATTTAGAAAATAAGATAGTAAATTAAAGATTTATATATTAAAAAATTATACTTCCGGGTATCAAAAGTTTTATAAAGAGGGATAACATTATACGGAATTTTATTGAGAAAAAAGACAATCCGGAAATAAAACATAAATAAAATACTAAAATAATATTTTTATATTTTATTTTCCAAAATAGGAGTTATAATTAGGGGTGGGCAATCGGGTCCAGGAACCGGGAGTCGGAACCGGACCGCTAGGTTCGGTCCGGGTTAGGGTCGGGTCCTATTTTCGAAAATTTTAAACAGTCCGGGTCGGCCCGGTCCTTACAAATTTTAGGGTCGGTCCGATTCCTCATTTTGAAATTGTATGGGACCCGGACCGGACCGTTTTTTTAAATCCTAATATTATTTTTAATATTATTTTTAGTAAATATACGTATATACAGAAATATACCCGCCTAAGCCCTTCAATCTTTTGGTCTTTCCCATTGCAGGCAGAAAAGTAAGAAAACCTTTCATAGTTAGAGAGTTGGAACCCATGAAAATTGTGAATTTTGTTTTTTTGGAACCCATTGACACTATAATGCCAAAATATGGTTGTCTTTTTTTTATTGTTGTTGTTGAATGATCATGGGGTGTGCACTTTACTCTCATGCCCCTCTTTGTCATTGTTTTATTTTCATTTACGCCTCTTTTTTATGTTGGATGACTTAAATTAACTTATTATCACTTTTATTTTTTTAAGATTAGTATCATGATAGGTTCGGACCCGTTGACCCGTGGAACCGGCCCGTTTCAAACAAGCCGGGTTAGGTCCGGTTTCAATTTTAAAATTTTGAAAATCCGTTCCGGCCTGGACGGTTTAAAAAAAAAAACAAGTCGAGTCCGGTTTATAAAAATCTTGGCTCGGACCGGCCCGTGCCCACCCCTAGTTATAATATCGATAATGTCAACATATAATACCAAAAAACATATATAAAAATATACTTCCTTTGTCACAAAAATAAATCCATTGTTTTCTATTCAAAAATCACAGATATTTTTACTTATTTATATGTTTTCATAAATTATTTGTTAAAATAAAATATATGTGTCACTAGGTAAAAATTTTTTTATTACAATGCCAATACTTTAATAAAATGAATTTTAAAAATTTGAAAATTTGCTTCGTTTAGTGTAATGTGACAAATATTTTAGATATAAATCACCCTAAATAGGACTAAAACATAAAGAAAGATATCAAAATATGACTTTCATGTTTTTTCCCGAAACAGGACTTCACATTGTGGTAATGTGATTGTAATTAATGTGGCACTCTACATATGTACATTACTATATTTTTTGGTAATGTACATGACCATGATTGGTAATGTAAATGCATTTTAAGTCCTATTTTGGGAATAAAAACATGGAAGTTTTATTTTTGTATATTTTTAATGTTTTAGTAATATTTTGATCTTTCTCCCTATTTTAAAATAGAGAGAGTAAGAATGGTTATTTTTGTGCTAACTTGAAATTGGAATAGAATAATGCTAGAGTCAGAAACAAAGCACTCACAAAATATACAAACTTATCATTTCATTTGTATATTTAAGTTTTTATTTTTTAATTATTTGAAACTATTACTTTACATATTGAGTAAGTTTATTTATTTTGTAAATGTTTGGCTTGCGACTCTGGGTAGTTAATAAACCGAGACATGTATTCTGGTGAAATTAGTACAAACTATACAAAAATACTACATCCGTCACCTTAAGATTTCAGTTTGACTCTTTGTGATTTTTAAGGAGTGTTGAATAAAGATACAAATTTACCAAAGTAACCTTAATGAAAATGAATGGAGTATATTACATGAGGTGGTGAGGTGTAATAAATAAAGCAAGTGGCCTGTGAATAGTTCTGGTATTTTAAATGTTAAAAATGGTAATAAAAAGATCTATGATGGATAATAAAAGTAAAATTTGTTGTGTATAAGACTAAAAGATACAAGTTTTCCCTATATAGGAGTAATAATGTTTTTTTCCTTTTCTAAGAGTATTTTTTAAAAAAATTCCTTTCCTACCCCTAAATTATAGACGACCTCTTGTCTGGATAAAACCAACCCCCCCTTTGCAGTTTTTTAGTTTTTATCTCTAAAAATTTTATTTTTATAATTATGGGTTATATAGCCATTATTTACGCCTATAGTTTAGGAAATAAATTTATTACTCCACAACCCCTAATTTATCTCCATTCATCAGATTTTGCCTTACCATTTTTTCTCCTCGGCATTGCTTTGTTCTACTTCTCCACATATTTTGCTTTGTGCTTTGCCAATTTTTATTACTTTTAAAATATTATAATAATGTCATTTCTTTTTTAAAACATTTTTGCCAAAGTTTTATAGAATCTTTGATATAATTTTATGTACATACTTTTATTTTTAAATTTTACACCAATTTTTTGAAAAAGTGAATTAAAAACAACTTTAGTTAAACAATGTAACAGGTAACAAGATGATAATCTCTAGACAAAAGGAGTGCTTTTTCACCGTAAATTTAAATATCCTCATCATAATTTTAAATAGTAACATTGTTTTATCAAATAAATAATACAATTAGGCGTAAAAAATGAGTTCTAATTTACTTTTTGGAATGTTCTGAAAAAAGTGCTTATTTCTATCTTTAAAAAAATTGATTCATATTTTTCCTTTTTCTTTTTTTACTTCATTATTTTTAACTACGCAATTTACTCTTTTTTAAACTTCAAGTTGGGTCAAATTAGGACATTTCTTTTTGAGAAGGGAGAGTAGTAAACATGATTTTTAGTACATACTTAATTATTGTTACATACCCTGATACACGTGGTAATAGACAATAATTTCATCCTTGATGTGAAGTCAATTAATCTATTTGTCTTTTAGGTTTCCATATTTTACTTACCCATAAACCAATTTCATTGTTTCT